GCCAAAACAAAACAACTCGACCAGTGTCGGCACCACGAGCATTACTCATCAACATCAGACCACCCGACATTTCGCGTCGGTCGCCAAGCCAACGACTTCCATCAGCCCGCGAGTTTAAGTGAGCACCCCCTGTGTACCTTCGGGTGCTGCAGCTCCAGGTCGGCCCACGGTCGCATCCAAGTGGAACTCCGCAACACGGGTCTGGCTCACGACCGCGGACGCTGCTGGTCGATCAAGTAGCTTGACGATGGACCACATACTAGAAAAAGAAACCCATAGTGGTAATCCCGGTAATACACCGCCTGACAAAGAATATCGAAAAATCACCTTTTCTTAGACATGTGATGCCATTCGAATTGCTCGGGGTTGTTACCGGTGTACCTCTGAGACAGTCGAAGTTGGTGCATCCGAGGACACAAGCATGGCGGGGCAGCTTGAATTGGTCGTTCGATACGCGGGAGTGCTCAGGGGCGAAGAGGGCACGCAGTGTCTGTATTACCGCCCAGTCTCGGGGGAGGAGTGGCGGGCTACTTCACGGGAGCCGAATTCTAGAATGAGAGTGGTTTTGCTCTCAAAAGATTGTTTCGGCTCCTTGCGTTGCAAAGCACCGAACCGGTGCGCAAGCAAGAACTTCTTCAGAGAGACCACCGCGCCTCGCTTGCCGGCCGTGCCGCACAACCACACCACTGCACCTTGCCATTGTGCGAGGAACCATTGCGGTGTCACCCTTCTTTCACCGACGAAAACGGCAAGCACCGGTCTACTATTCGACACGTGCGCGTCACACATCATCCCATGCAATCGCGACGTACAATGTTAGAAAACTCTAGATGGTCTTGTCGTGCATTGCGCCAACGTACAATATCCAAAAAGTAGAAGAAACGAATTGTGTTTAAATGCATATGTACATTATTAGGCCGCGGGGCGCGCGACAATCTGGGCCGACGCGACAGTGCGGCCGTCCTTGGCCTCGTCCACGACCCAGTCCATGGCCGACGAGAGCGTAAAGGCCGAGAGGACGTCGTTGCGCGGGTCGTTGGCCGGGCCGAAGCGCGTGCGGCCGTCGTACCAGATAATGGCTTGGCCCATCTCTTCGACGTTGGAGGTCATGACAAGCCAGTAGTGGGCGTCGGGCTGCAGCGTCTTGGGCGTCGACGGCACCCATTGAAACTCGATGCGCTTGGAGATTGTTTCGATTTGGAATTTGTCGGCCTTGGCGTTCGCATCGCACGCGGGCAGTCCGTTGACTGTCGGGCAAATGTCGAGCGTGATCCACGTCGCCTTGGGGTCAATGTTTTTGGTCGTCACCGTCACGTTGGCATAGTCGACGAGCTGGTTGACGCCGCACGCGCTCGCCGACCGGAACTGCACTGCGATCGACTGGTCTTTCGAGACGGGCGTGCCCACGGAAGATTGTCGTCGGGACGGCCGCTGTCGAGAAGCAACTGCGCCGAGGCACTGGCGGCGACAGCGAGAAGGGAAGCAAGAGTCCACTGCATCGCTAGAGTTTGAGCTACTCGACAGGCGGGCACTTCAGAAATGACGAGCAGCTCCAACAAAAAGCCGAAACGGGTCGTCTGAAATCAGATTTCTCGGCAAGTGCTACGGTGCCGATGTGGATAATCTGAGTTGCGTCAACCGGAAACAGTGCCACGTCACGAATGATATCTTGTCGGGAAACAACCATTTTTAACACCGGATACACAAACTAAGACAAGATGTAAAGAATACAAGCCCGTCTTTTGGCGCATTCGCACCCATGTCTTTCTTCTTCTTGGGGTGCGAGATAAGGAGAGTAAAGAGGAACAACGAAGTATGTTCTCCAAGATCGCACGGCGTATATCGTCCATTCAAAAGGCCGACAGTGTTTAACGCTGCATTCACATTAGTCGTATCAATCGATAAAAGGAATTGTGTAGAAGTGTACGAAGCATCGCCGCACGGTGGAATCGTTGCGGCTGCTTGTTGCAGGACATACGATCGTACGGAACACAAACAGCTCCATCGTGTTCAACAAAAACAATATAGACGATACTCCGTTGTGGGTGTGCAGGGTTACCGCTTTCGTGCCTGCTCGCTCGGCAAGATCCTTTTGGTTCAAAACAGAGTCACTCTTCAAGTCACGACACCATCCTGACGGCTATGCTCTATTACCACCGACGAGACTTGCGCCTGCGTATTTTGCCAAAAGGCTCTGTGTACTGGAGGGCGTGATGGACGGCCGGTCGTCCGTCACGGCGCTCGTGACCGCCTTGTACTTGTTCAGAATCGATTGCAGCCGATCGCTCGTCTCGGCAACAATCGGCGGCTCGGGCGTCGTCTGGCTTTTCCCGTATTTGCCCAAGAGAAACTCACGCCGCGCGGCCAACGCCGCATGGGCATCCGCATCGGACGACGCACTCGTCGTCAGAGGAGCGGTATATTGTGCGCTGGTGCCAAATGGCAGCGGTATCCGCGGCGACAACGTCGACGAAGCCGGCGTCGATGACAGACTTTGCACAAAGGACGACAAGGGCGGTGGCGGCTCGCTGGGCGACTGTAAAATGACTTGGTCAAACTCTTTTTGAAGAGTCGTCATCCATGACAAGTGCTTGATCTCGGCCGTCAACGGCGCCGATGTCAGGGTCGACTTGCCATACTCTGTTTTCTTCGGGACGCGGATTGCGGGTGGCACAACGTCGACCACGGACAATGATGGCTCGTCGACTTGATTGCTACTGCCGGGCGATGGCTTACTGGACTTGGAGGACACGCGCGGCTTGCGAGGTTTTCCTTCTTTGGCAGTGCGACCTTGACACGTTTGGGCTTCTCGCCGTTGAGAAGCGGCGTGAGGTCTTGGGCGTAGCACGCAATTGTCTTTTTGCTGTGGTCGATTTTGGGCGGGGGCTCGTTCGCGTCGGCCGTCGCGCTGCGCGCCGTGCCTTTGGGCTATATATCCCATCAGCATGGCTCGTGATTCCTTTCAATGTCGAGGTACGTACGGCGGCCGCTAAATTGGGCAGGCGGGGGTAGATTTTCATTACGGGTGGGATCTCGGCGACCGCGAGGGGGGGTGGCATGGCGGGCGCGGGCCGGGGTTTGGGCTTGGCCTTCTTGGTCGGCGCGCGCTTGGAAAAGTCGACGTCCCGAATGATCGCCATGGTCTCGAGTGTGTGGAACTTCTCTTCTTCTTCTGCACGACGCCGCGCAAGCTCCTTTGCGCGCTGTCGTGCGAGCTTGCGCCGATGCTTCTCCTCCTTCTCTTTGGCGAGTTGCCGGAGCCGGAACTGCCGCTGCTGCATCTCGACGGCCGCTTGCTGCTGCTGAAGATAGTGGACTTGATCGTCCAGAGCCACCTCGGTGGCTGCGAGCGATTGGTAGGCGGGGTCGGCCTCGAGTTGCGCAATGAGCGCTTCGTGCGCCGCACTGAGCTCGGCCGATGCACTGCGCGCCGACAGCAGTGGATTGCTGCTGCCACTTGGCGCGTCATCAGCTAGGGATGCGTCGTCGTCGTCGTCGTGGTTACTCGTGCGTGATGTTGGATTGCGCGCACGCTCGACGTCGTCGGCGCCGGTGGTATGAAGAGCGCGCCACTTTGCCCACTGCCGGTCGGTGTAGTCCCGCCACGTTTGCTGAAGGACACGCGCTGCCCAGTGTTTCTCGAGCTCGTCCGTGTCGTCGTCCATGCCGACGAGACGGTTTTGCACTGGTTTGCAACTAAATTTAATCGTCTAATCCAAATTGAGTCGTCGACGCATGAGGTTGACAACCCAAGTGGGGGGAGCAAGCCATCTACAACGACGCAGGGGCCTTTGGTCCCTGCCTCTTGACTTTGTGGCGCGCGCTTCTTGACTTTTTCAAAGTAAAGATTCAAATTGTGTGCACCTCGGCACCGAAAAGTTGGAAAAGTTGGTGACACTATTTAGTCGTAATTTGTACAGCTGTCACTGCCTGGAGCACCATGTCAATATACAAACACAGACGGGCGTTGGCTCGAGAGACTTCGCGGCAGTCCGAGCATGAACCATGGACCACAGCCGATTGCCTTTCCGCTTCAAATAGTGTTAAACTTGTGCATGGCTGCCTTCAACTCTAAGTCTTCGGGGTTGGTGGTACCGCCACCTTGCAAGCGCATTCCAATAATTGCTCGTGAGGAATTTGTTGCGCCAAGGTCGACCACACGTAGCCCCATTGTCACCCACCCAAAATGCCAACACTAAATCCGGCCATGCCCGATCCAATCGTGACCGTTCAAGATACCGGTAATGAGCACGACTACGGCCAAACGGTGTGCCGAGGCGGCGGCAACGCTCCGAGAGCTACTCGTGACGGCAGCGAGCCGAGGCATTAGCATTGAAGACTCGTTCGCGCACTTCGACCATGGACGCGATGGTGTCATTGATCTCTCGCAGTTTGTGCTCGGGTTGCGCTCACTGGGCATTCCCGTCTCGGTCGAGGTTGGGAGCCTCCTCCTCTTTCAAATCTCCGAGAAAAGCTCGACGCATCTCACCTGCAAGGACTTCCATCGACTCTGCGACCCGCAATCGACACTGTACACTAAGCGCAAGGGCAAGCAAATGACGGCACCCAGGACCAAGAAAAAAAGAGTAGCGTGCCCCCCACCCCCTCGGCACCGCCCCCGAAGCGCCGTAAAAGGCCGCCCGAGAAGAGCTCAGTTGGCACGAATCCCATTGCAGCGGCGCAAGGCCTTCCGCAGTGGGCCCACGACCGGAGCAAGCGCGCGCTGCGGGAGCTACAACATCTCTCCAAGAAGCGTCCTTTTGTGCCAACCGCGCCCATGGCCGACGACGACCGGAGTAGCAGCGAGAGCGACGAAGCGCCCAACCAAGCATCGCCACCACGCACCACGGTACCCCCGGTTGCGCTGGAAGCTTTGGAGGCTCCCCAATATGCGTCGTTTGCGATCAATGATGCGACCGTGTTGGAGTACGCTGTCTGACCAAGAAGATGACCCTTAATGAAAGCGTAGATATGCCATCTTGCACGCGCCATCGGCAGGCGAGAATACAGACGACGAAGCGCCCGAGGCCCCCCCATCGTTTTTTGGTGACGACCTGGCCAAAGTGCAGAGCCGCGTGACGCGCCACCTCGACACGCGCAAGACACACACCTGTGCGCGATTGATTGTCGTCCTTGACGCGTTTCAAACGATCGCCATGATGGAAGCGCTCTTGCAGCCTTTCTTTCGCCTCTATCCGCTCGCACGGGTGCTCGTCATCGGCCATGTCGCCAAGGTGGCCCCCGAGGCGAGTACGTCCATGGTCGTTTCTTCTCCCAGCCGCATGAATGACGCTGCTCTAGTCGTCACCAACGCCACCTTGGCGTCGTACATGGGCGCGCTGCTGCTCCATTTGATAAACACGCGCGCGTGGAGCATCCAGCCCAAGCAAGGCCCTGGCGCGGTGCCCCAGCTGCTGCTCGGGTGCGGGTCGGGGGCGGCGGTCGCTGGCTGGTTTACGCTTGTAGCCAATCCCCTCGATTGCAATATCCATATGACGCCGACGGCGTAGGTGACAGCGGCCGAGGACCCGAAGCTTCGCGTGCTTAACATGGCTCTCAGTGCTCTCTTTCTCATCAACGGCTTTGCGAGCGCGTCCGAAGGCAGCGTCAAATCCAAGCTTCACCCCGTACGTCGCCATCTCTCTCTCTCATTTGCAATAGATGTCGTTTCAAACGGTGACATAGCTGCTGCATGGACTGCATGCCAACAAAGGCGACACCGAGTGCCACGAACAGCTCGTGCATTTGCTTTTTTGCGACGCGTACCTTGCGCAGGTTGGATCGCACCGGCCATGTTGAGGAGTCGAGTCGCGTTTCGATAGCACTCACGCGCGACCGCGATGCAATCGTCTTTGAGCACCGACGCCGATTTCTCGAGCCCACGAGCCGCGCGCTGCTCCAGCAACGCCTCAAAGCCATTCCCAAGTTTACGGATCTCCGGCCCGTCTTGCGGTACATCAGGATGCAATTGTGATACATGGCTATATGGATAGGATCTAGAAACCTCCATGTCCCGTTGATTCTTCTGCAAAGCTCGCAGAACGCGTGGGTGCCACCCAGTGCCGCGAATGCCCTCCAGGAAGGCCGTGTGCTCGTTGCGTCTTTACCGGAAGCGTTTCGGCAAACCAATGCAGTGTACGTGGCGTGGCTCAAGGCAGGGCACGAGGTGCTGCAAGAACGCTCGCCGTTTTGCCTCCAGTTTCTCGACGCCGTCGTTGCCGCCGTCCTCGAGCACGTGACGTTAGCACCTGTCCGAGGGGCCGACGCCGACGACAACGATGGCACGACCGTCGAAGGGCACGGCCGACGCACACGGCCCGGTCGTCACCGCCTCGATATCGACGAGGACGACACGCTCGTCGTGCAGGCACCAACTGACCTTGCTGCTGTCGATGCCTCGGGGCCGCAGTGGGTACGCTACAAAGACGGATGCTCGATGTGACGACGGTGTCCATAGTCGTCGCGGGTGCTCGCCATTTTACACGAGCGTGGCATCCAAGGTATTCGACAAGAACTGATTGACCGCGACATTGATCTACCGCTGGGCGCGCCTGACGATGTACGTGCATCGATGCTGCATCACGAGTCCAACGCTTTGCATGACATAGAGCTTGATGGACAAGTTGGAAGACGCGCTGGCGACCGAAGACAGCGCGTACGAGGCTGTCTTGGCCTCCAAAGCCGCGTTGGCGTCGCTGCAGGAGGCGCAGCACGCCGAGCTCGCGCGGCTCGAGGCCGAGAAGCAGCAAAAGCTCCTGCGCGACGTCGAGCGCAAGAAGCAGCGGCTCAAGAAGGAGGAGCTCGCGTTCGCAGCGCGCGAACGAGACCGATTGCGCGCGGCGGCCATTGTGGAAGCGGAGCGCCACGAGCGCCGGAGCATGGACATGGAAGATGAAAAAAGCCGCAAACGGGAAGACTACGACCGCAAGGTGCGTGCGTTTAGCCACTGGATTCGTACCATAGACGTTGGTATAGAGCGTCCTGTGGGCGGAGAGCAATCGCAACGCGCTTCAAAACGTGGTCGCCGAGCTCGAAGACGAGCGAAAGGAAGCGCTGCAGACTCAAGTACGGCGACGACTCCTTGTCATTCGTGCCACGCAGCTACTAGGCCGAGATCAACTTGGGCCTCGAGCGGGCTGCCCATCGCGCCAGCTTGCAAGCACAACTGTGGGAGCTGCAACGCAAGGTACCTCCTCTCGCACCCCTTTCCTATCAACACGATATACTCATGCAAGTAGCTGGAAGCGAATCAAGTGACACTACGGGGCGATGCTGAAGGGTATCTCGATCGGTGGCGAGGCGGCTAAAGAGTGGTGTTTCTAGCTACGCGCTCGAGTGCGGCGTCGACAGCCACGACATCCCGCGCGTGCTGCAAGGGATCGAGTGCATCCTCCATGACGCCCGTGCCGTCCGCGAACAGAAAAACGCAACTTGGCCACGCAAGCCGCGTCCATCGCCAAGCACGATGCCTACAACAGCCAGCTGCACGACTGCTCGCGGAGTCTCCACAACCTCAGTCGGGTACGGTGACCATGGCGATGCAAGGAATCTACATCACGTTGCCTCAGGCTCTGCATCGAGCCGAGACGGAGAACGTCATTGCCAAGCCCGACGCGGGTGGCGCCGTCCGCCTCGTGCCGGCCACCCCGCGGCCATTCGCGCTCTCCGCGAAAAGGTGCAAGTGCTATCGCAAGATACGGCGCAGCTCCAGGCGCTCACGACCGCGAGTCTCGAAGAGGTCACGATGTTTGACCGGGCCATGCAAAGCATCGCGATTTTACAAACACGCACGGAAGCCACGGTGCGCGAGCTCCTGGCCAAAGCCGCCATTATGGTCCACAACGCGAACGAAGAGCTTAGCTTGCTTCGAGTACACACCTCTCTCTCTCAAGAGACACGGTGATCGTGACGCGCCCGGTGTAGGAAACCCAAGAAGACGAAGCTGTCGCCGACGCGAAGCGGCTGCATTTGACCAACACGACGATCGCGCGCATGACGCTGTTGAGCGCCGAGCTGAGCCGCATTGAAGGCGTCACCACCAAGATGGTCGACAGCGCGATCTATGTGGCGGGTAGGCCATACCCTCTCTACAAAGCGTTTGAAGGATGCGTTGATATTAGGGACGTTGCAGCGGCTCGACAAGGCGACCCTCGAGCGCAAATGCAAGGAAGAGCTGAATGCACTCACCATCAGCCTCGACGAGCTCCGTGTACAAAGCGCGTCCGCCAAGACGATTCGCGCCGACCTCCGCATCAACATCAAACGCATTGTCGAAGGGCTCGCGCTGCTTTTGAGTGCGCAGACGCAATTGGCAGCATTTGCCAAGTTTGCGGCATCGACCACGGTCAAGGAAGAAGCCGACATGGATGCTCAAGCCCGTGGGTACTCGGAGCGGTCGGCAGCGTTGGCGCGGGAGCGACTGTCCATTCCAGATCTTGCACTCGTGCGGTCCAAAAAACTGTTTGAACACTCGGTGGAGGAGAAAGAGTGGATCGCTCTCGACTTGAAACGAGGCGACCACGCTGTGACGCTCTACTCGAGTCTCTCTGAGCGCGAGGCCATCGAGATGCGCCTCGACCCGCTGTATCAGACGTCGGTCACCGACGCCGAGATCGAGTACATTCTGTCGCTGCCAAGCCGGATCTGCCTCGCGCTTCCGTTTCTCAAATCCCCCACGCATCTCCGCGCGCATTATTTGCTGAGAAAGTATACGTGCGGCGACGGCCCAGTTGTGCTCAACCAAGTCGACGTGACGTATGCCCCCCCGCTGCCACTGCCCCCAGGTAGTTCAATATGCCAGAGGTTGCATCCCGCAAACACACGATCTAGGCCTCGATCTCCACGGGATGCTGCAGCGCAAGCTCGCCGAGAGCCTTCGACAAAAACCGTGGGCGTCGTGCAATGAGAAAGAGCAGCTCTGGCTCGCGTGCGACGCGCGCCTTGGCGCAACCATGGCCACTTTGCTGCCACCCTTTCCCGTTGGTTTTCCCGTTCCCGATATGACGGCCGACCACGTACAGAACGTTGCGGGCCAGATGTGGAGTCCCAACATGACTCCCGCCGACGATGCTGTCTGGACAGTGCTGCACGACTTCGGCGGACTCCGCCCCGACGCCCAGCACATTGTGGTCATCTCGACCCTCGCCGAGCTTGTCGGTACGAACAGCATCTCTCTCCGAACGGAGATTTTCAGCTGCGGCGGTAGAGGCCGACGAACGAGCCACTATCCTCGTCGATGCCAAGACCCAGCGCAGCCTTCTTGAATCCTCCAAGTGCCAGCTACGAGCACGCAAAAGTGCGACCCACGAGATAGTTGTCGACGCAGTTGGCCTCAGTCTCACGGTCTCGATCGTTTTGAAGGTATGTTCGATCGATGGATCGATGGATAGAGAGACAGACTGATGTATATGGGTAGGCAAGTTTGGCGCCACGGGCTACAAGCTCGGTCGACTCGCTGCTATGCTGTACCATCTGTCGCTCAGCGGGAAGCCCGAGCCGATCGGTCAAGTCCAGTACGACCACGTGCAGCTCAACACGAGCGAGAGCATGGGACGGATTGTGCTTCGCCACGCGCCCAACCGCGTGCCGATCGCGCAAGGCGTCTACCACATTGTCGTGGGCTGTCCCGTATGTCGCTTTCTTTGTCTAAAGCGCCTAGTCAATGTTGTTTATGTAGTCAGACACGACGTACTCAATCGCGGTCTCGATGCACGAAGCGATGCCCGCGTCCGAGTTTGTACGACGCGCCAAGGCCACGGCACTGACACAGCAAGCCCGCCTACCCGTGCGATATATCAATGGATGCAATGGACGCACAAGGGGTGTTCTAGGTCGGTCGCGAAGAAGTGTTGCAGATCTGGGAGAGCATGCGCTTGGCCGAGCGCAAGTTGGAGCTGGTCGAGAAGGCGTCGTCGGCCGCGATGCTCCGCGCCAAGGAGCACGAAGCCAAGATGGGGCAGCTCCAGCGCCTCTTGGACGTACCGACGGGCGCCGGCGCGTCCCTGAGCCGCAAAGATCTTCTGGCGCAGGTGCGGGTTTTCTGAAAACGTACTTTACATTCAAGGGTCGACTAGATCCGAACGCTCGATCGCGCGTTCACCAAGCAATGCAAGCTGCATGCGATTCGGCAAGACGAGATCCACGACATCAAGCGAGGTGTGTTGCCACATGGCATTGAGGTACATTGATACATCAATATATATATTTAGGACTGCACCACTTGGCGTCGCTCCATGCCAAATTGCTGCTCGAGCGCGCCGACCTCGAGGCGGCGCTGACGTATGCGCGTCAGCACCTCCCGTACGCCGCCGCTCGCATCGAGGGTGCGACGTCGGGTTTCAAGGTCGTCTCAAAGTTTCACGTTTCCATGCTTCAAAACGGGAGGTTGAGTAGGTCGCGTACGCTCTCAACGCCGAGTACAACGTCCTCAAGACGGCCAAGATGCGGTGGCGGGACCTCGCGGCGCTCAAGCACCAGCTGCCAAAGCTCCTCACGTCGGCGCAGCGCGTACGTCGCAAATACAAGAAGAACAAGTTGGCCCTCGACGCGGCCGAGCGTCAATGGGTCTTACTCGACCGCATCGTGCACCCCGACCTTGTACACTTATTTTCATTTTTTATATTTTTAGAAGTGTGGTCACAATTGTCCATAGTATCTCTGGGAGCAAGAAGCGTCGCAGCACGCGCACATGCTCAACCAAAAAACGACCGTGCCCATCGGATACAGCCTCTCCAAAATCGAGGCCGAGATGAACGCGTACTCGGCTGCCGAGCTCCAGCGACTGGTCGACGCCCCCTACAATGCCCTCTCGCGAAAAGAAATTCTGGTGCGCAAAGCCATGCTCAAATTTCGCGACGAGAGCGTCTTGCGGCACCACGCCATTACCGCGGCCGACAAGCCAGCCTCGATCCTCCGATCCTTACCCCTTGGTAGCGTCCTCCCTCTCATCCGATACTGAAAATCCCGCAGATGCCCTCGATGCCGACCAGAAAGCGTGGCTCGCTTTCGACAAGCTTCTGCACCCCGAGCTGCACTCGCGCTTGCTCACGACCGTACCAGCCGCCAAGCAGTGGACGCGCGACTCGCTCTTGGCGCTGCTGCAGACGCCGGACGACCAAATTGCGTCGCTGGATGCCGACGCCCGTCGCGCGCGCGCCCTCGTCTTGGCATACGATGGGCCCTTTGCCTACGAGCTATTGCACGGTCCGTCGCCACCGTCTGCTGCGTATGCGGCGCCGATCAAACACTCGCTCGTCGACCACTCGCAAGCAGGTGAAAAGGTCGAAGTTGACGTCGACGCGCGCTGCCGCTCGGTGCTGCACGAACTCGATCGCGTACGCTGCTGAAAGGGATGGTCAAGTATATTGATGCAGGCACTCTGGACTAGGCGATCAGTAGCACCAATGAGTTTATGGACTCGAGTGTCCTTCACAGCGCGCCCCAGCGGTTTCCAACCAGCGTCTTGCGGCTCGAGCTCGAGAAGGAGCTCGATCGACTGCTCCTCAGTCAGCTCACCGAGCGCGAAGAAGCCGAATGGGGCGCGTTCCACAACCCAAAGTCGCTCCTTGACTTGCACGCGCGAGATAATGACGACGACGAGGAAAAGACCAAGCAAGGACTCGCGCACGTGTCCGACTCGGACTCGGACCTCGAGGCACGCTTGGCACGCGAAGAGCAACGCAAGGCTGCGCTCAAGCAGCTCCAAAAGACCAACAAGAAGGCAAAACCAAGCTACCAAAAGCAAAAACGCGCGATTCAAGACGTACGTTTTCAGTGGCGTCTGCTCGACGATCACGACCAAATATGCATGGTGTCTAGGCCCTCGTGCCACGGTCGATTGAAGAGCAGCAACTGGAGCTTGAAAAGAAAAATCTGGGGCCGGGCGGGTGTATGGCCTGCCGCAAAAACCCGTGCACGTGGGTTCCGTACCTCAACGCGACCAAGGACACCATCGTGCACCGCATCCACCTTCTCAAGGACGAGACCGAGCGCGTCAAGCGTTCGAAAGAGGTGGGTGATCGTTTTGTCATATTTGTCCTGTTTTCATGTTTGTCATTTTTGATGTTGTATTAGACCGTCCTCAGCTCGCGTCTGTGCATGTCGGCTGTCCGCGGCGGCGTCGAGGCCATCTCGATGCGCAAGATGGACCTCTTCCTCGAGCTCACGTCCGAGATCCGTAATTGGGAAAAGCACTTGCGCCTTCGCGACATTGACTCCGAGTTGCACGCAACGTTCAACTGGCCCAACGATCAGTTTGAGACCGTCGCGCTCCATGGCTTTGTCCAAATGCAGCAGGTGCGTCTCGTCGACTGCACACAACTCGAAAAACCCATGTGGTATCATATTTCGATAGACGGAGAAAGTCAAGGCTGCGTTGACGCGGGAGCAGCACTCGCTGGTCGCGCAGCTCACAACACACGAGATTGTCGAAGACATTCTCGAATGGATGCTCGAAGGTTGTTTCTTATTTATCGCATTTGTCTCGACCACGCGGTCTCACTTGTTGCTGCCATGTGGTGGTGTAGGCTGGGTCTTTGGCGAGCGCGAATCGCGGCGCAAGGTGCAAGGCTTCGTGCCCAGTGTATACAAGGACGGACCGCTCAACATGCAAGTGCTTCGGCGCCTCGAAAACATGAGTCCTGGTACCCGATTTGCTGTGTTCTGTTGTGAAATTGGATTCGGAGCGTCTTTGGCCTAGCCGACAAGAAGATGGCCGACGAGCTCCACGACATACACGCGACCAAAGCCAAGTTTGGCACGCCACTGGAGAAATGGACGCCGATTGAGGTCGACGCACAAGCCCTCCGCATGGACAAAAAAGCAATTCAAAAAGGGTCGGCGGCCGACAAGGTGCTCGACGAGACCGAGCAGGCGCTGAAATTCGGCCTTTTCTGCATGACACTCATGTACTTCCGGGGTCTCAGCCTCCTCAAGGCCCAAAAACAAGTGTGGGGCGCCAAGACGAGCGAGCACGCCAAGGTGCACGTCGCGAAGCCCGTCACAGGTCTTCAGCTCGAGCGTCAAAAGCAAGAGCTGCGGCAACGGTACACGCCTCGGTCCAACGACGCCATGGGAAGCCACAACGATAATGTACTAGACGCATCGACGAGGCGCACGCCAAGGCCAAACTCGGCCAAGCGCGCCGGAGCCAAAGGAAATGGAGCGCCTGCAATCGCAACGACAAAAGCTGTTTGCCAACAATCGACTCGCGAAACGCGAAGCCAAAGCCGCGACGTTTGTATGTTTATTGTTGGTGTGGCGTCGAAAGAAACCTCATGGGATGTGTATTAGCTGCAACGGATTTACCGGGGGTACCTGGGCCGGGCCGCGGCAATCAAGTGGAAGATTCGACGTGCCGAGCTCGAGGCGCGACAAGCACTCGAGCAAGCGGCCGCGACGACCATGCAGCGCGCGTACCGCGGTACTTCCATCCGATTGAAAACATATGTTGACACCTGCGGTAGGCCGCCTCGGGCGCATTGCGGCCGAAGACCGCCGCATCGAGCTTGCCGAGTTCATTGCCCAAGTCCGGGCCCAAGAGGCCATTGAAGAAGAGGTGCGCTGGACGACTGTAGCGTTCAAAGACCCATGGTGCATGTGTAGGAGGCGTACTGGAAACGCAATCGATCCGAGCGCTTGCGCCGACGCATCATGGCGCTTGTGGACCGCAAGGCGGCGTGATCATTGTCGACGTGAGCGACCAATTCAAGCCTTTGATCCAGCGTCTTGGATAAGAGTTCCTTGGCACCAAAGCTGTCCATTTTACCATGTCCTCAAGCAGGGTGAGGAGGAAAATGCGGCACCAACGACTATGTGCCGTCCGCTGTACATTGAAGACGTTGATGCATCGGCCGATCCTAGTACGACGATGGATGATGGGCTTTTGAGAATGGAGTGCTGTTGCCATGACATGTTGACGCGGCGTGTCTGTGGCCTTTTCGGATGGACGAAAAGTCGCGGAAAGAAAAAGGGTATTCAAGTCTGAGCGCCTACGGGTGCGACCACTATGTGCAGTTGTACTTGAAACCGAGCGATGCAAACAGGTGCAAGACGTCGATGATGTATCGCTGCCGTTCCAACAACGCATCGTTTCGACCTGCTTGCACACACGGCCTTTGGCGAAGATGCGAGGAATCCTACCTACTACTGTCTGCGCGGACTGACAACCGAAACTGAGTGTATATTCGTGTACTCGTGGTATAAATATAGTTAACGTACTCCAATGGATCACGTTGCAATGACCACAACGGGCGGCGATGTGAGTGAGATGACATTGCCCCGTACGTCGTCAATGCCGGCGAGCTCCAACGCAATGCTAAGGTCGCCCACATGCACACCTTTGTGGAGGACGGGGACCCACTCGTGGTAAATGTCGTCAGTCGCGAGGGCGGTCGCGAGCGCATCGAGGTCGACGCGCGCCATGCCAATGGAGCGGTCGGGCAGGACGTGCATGGCATTCTTGATGTGCACGGCGAGCGTCAGGCCCGACGGGATCGTCTCGGGCACGGAGAGCAAGAACGATGCGTTCCACCATGGGTTGGAGCCGCCGTGGTGGTGGACCTCGGTGGTTGCGTCAAAGATGTTGGGGATGCTCACATTGCAGTACGGGTCTTGCGCGCCGAGGAGCTGCGTGCGCTTGAGGTTGCGCGCCTCGCGAAGCGTGAGAATAAGCTCCATACGTGTGTGGGTACTGGATGGTCAGAGATACAATGAAGGACGTCAAGCAGCAGCCGTGCTTTACTGTAGCGTCGGGAGCCATTTGGGACACGCCGTCGAAAATATTTGGATTTCAAGTGCAGGTCGGCTCGAGTTGGAATTCTCGCAAACGGTGGATGGACAGGCAAGCGATTGTGAGTCATACGGGGTGTTGACCACGCGCCGGTTTTACGTGATCGCGACATGCTTCGCCCTCGTCGCTGGTAGAATTTCTCAAAAGCCCTGCAATTTGCCTCCTATATTCGCAAATACCCCTTAAACTCGTAAAGCAGCCAATCACAACCCCTGGACCTTCCTTTTAAAGCCAATCAGATCCACGTATTCCTCAATTGCGGTTTTTTGCAAATATTTGAGCAAATCGCGGGTTTTTTGAGAAACCGTTCTCGGTCCATCAACACCGCACCTGGTCCAGAGAATAGCGACCCATTCATACTTTATGGAAACAGAGTGATCATTACGACATCGATCGGCGTCATCGCCGTCGACAGGACGTGATGATGAAAACGACGGCCGCGAGAAGCATGCACCGTCAAGAGGGTTGTTCAACGTGAAGACCACAAGCGACATGGACGGGTCATCGCTCGCGTTCATGGCCGACATGGCTCCTGGGACGATGCTCTAGGCGAGCGTGTGCATCCTGGATGACGATGCGCCGTACACTGGATCTGCAACGCACTTTTTTGTTGAAAAATATTCGCAAAACCACAAAAACATACCGGGTACACTGCCGGGTATAACCAAGGGTGAATACCACCCTTGATACTGTGAAGTAAAACGCGGCGGGTCATCAGCTTTTGCACAGGGACTGCAACTTGCTTTCGTCGCGAAGTGCCTTGGTGCGACGAAACTAAGATCTACTACGTAGTATGGTGCAAGATGTGCGCCCACCTATGAAGCTGGGAGCGTTGTCGGGACATGGGACTAGAAGTCATTTGCACAGAGAGCATGCTCATCTGTGCCAGCTGTCTCTGCTCCTCCCGGACGCTACCACCGATCGTACCCAACGGTGACCACCGAAGAAGTGCAACTTGGAAAGAGGTGGGTGCATTAGAATGATGGTCATTCGACGCTCACTCTTGCACTGAGTGCCATGCACACTGTGCATTGCCGAAAGCTGTCCCCAACGGACGTATCCAAACCCACCTGCGGTTATGCTTCGATCCCTCGCTACCATATATATAGGTTTCTTCTCATTGCTCCATTGACATCCTCCTCTCTCGATTTGGTCCATCAAGCAAAAGCAATCAAAGTTGCGCCACGTCTCTCGCAGGCGCGGCCCAGACCCGTGTTGCCCCACTTCGGTTCTCACTGCGGGGCACCCATGGACGCATGAACGACAGCCACACAGGAAGTACACTCACACGGTTATCCACATGACAATATTTAATACATGCAGGTGTACACGATTTGGACGGGCGGCTGCGGCGGCGGCGGGCCGCGCGTGATTAGAATCGCGCCAAACTGGCTCGCGTCGCGCGAAAAGTACGACGTGTTCTGCGCCATGACGTAGCTCCAGCGCACCTCGTACACTTCGTCGCGCACGTTCATGTAGTTGACGGTCTCGATAAAGCCCGATTGGATGTTGCGGAAGACAGTCTTGGCGCCCAGACCGACGAGGCACCCAAGGAGTACAACCGCGATGGCAATGTACGGGAAGACGCGGCCAAAGACACTGCCGTACATGCGCCGGTCGAGCGCCGACTGGTTGCTGCCGAGCGCGATGAGCACGATGCAGGACCCGATGAGGCACGTGAGCAGCAGCAGCATGGGCAGATGCACGAAGAGGAAAATCCGCTTGTAGATGCGCTTCGAATACGCCTCGAACTGCGTGTTGAGCTCGCTCATGCGCTGCTGCAGCATCTCTTGCGTGAAGCGGTCGTCGGTGATGGCGCCGCCGTTCGCGACCATGACGCGCCACTCCTCGGCGTGCTCGAGCGGGTTGCACGAGCGGTTCTTCGTATACGGGCGCAGCACGAGCTGTGGCATTGTCGGTGCAAGTTGAGTTGTGCCGTCATCATCCCCACGACACTCACTGCAGATGGACAGACCAGTGTCCAACGCGTGTCCAGCCCATACCTATACCGACTTCCTAAGCTGGCTTCCTCGCACTTCTAGAAATTTCAAATTCGCTCATTTTTCGTACGTGGATCCTGGGTACACGAGACGGTGTGCATAGTATGCACACCGTTTTAAGTGCAGGGTATACCCTGCACTGACAGCCTGTCAGCGCTGCCTGTCAGTACAGGAGGTACTCGTAACGGCATTGGATGTGCAAGTTGGTATGGGTACGACCAAGTTCGTGGCAATAAATTAGTCGTACTGCCACTCACAGTAGGCAGCAGCGACATTGAGCTGCCTAACGTTATTCGCTTGGTCGTGCTGCTTGTGCCAGCAAGATTGGACCACGGCCTCCTTGCACGGGTTGCGAACGTGTTGAAATCATTGGAGCTTTTGGTGTCGACCATATTTCGGGCATTGCCGATTTCAATACAAATATAGGACTTTTCAGCAGCTTCCAATAGGACTTTGCCGAAACAGCGCGGACCAATCGAAAGCGGCGAATGCAAAGTGGGCATCATGGTTGGGACCGTCGACGTGCTTGTGGGCGCGACCTTTGCCGCCGATGCGCTCCACGCGCGCGTGCCTTTTGTCTTTCAGACGGTATTCGTGTGTGTATATATATCGGCGCGTAATGACGCTGCGGTAGGCGCTGCCGTCCGTCTCGGCGACGCTGCAATGGATGCCGTATGGCCAGTGGCGCGCACTCCTGCCGCGCCCGCACGCGCAGACGACCAATGGCCGCTGCATGACACTGCTCTTTTTGCGCACGTGCGACGTCCAGTACGACACCCCGAGCTGCGCCAAGCAGGACCGGCACCCTCGACGACTGACCGCATGGATGAGGCTCTGGCGCTGCTAACGTCGCACGTGGCGCTCAATCCATCCCGGCACCTCGTCGTCGTGCTCTGCCCATCGCCGCCCGACGCGAGCGCATCCACCACCGACGACGAGTACTTGCGTGCACACATGCCGGCAAACGCAGCGCTCGTGTCGGACCTCCGTGCGGTCTACGGCGCGAGCGACGACTTTTACAATGCAACATTGGGTACACATATATGTACGTATAGCGTGGACAATATCATGATGAGAACGGCGTAGACCTCGCCATGCACAACCCGTACTCGCCGTGGATGAATAACCTCTTGGCGCTGCAGGCCGCGCGGCAAATCTGCCGCGTGTTTCGACGACCGAAAAAGGTAATACCACGGACCACAACCTCGTTATACATTTGTGCATGCGTCGAGATAGACTCACTTGATCATGCTAGGTGCTGATCCTCGACTGCGACCACACGCTGTGGTCGGGGGCCATCGCCGAAGACGGTACTCGCCTTGGGAGCTCCAAGAGGACTGAGGACGGGCGTAGGACTGGCACAGATTGAGATCACGGCCGCCCATGCCGCCTTTCAGATATTTCTCCTGGAGCAATATGCATCCGGCACCCTTCTTTGTCTCTGCAGCAAGAACATTCCCGCGGACGTCCAAGCCGTGTTTGAACGCCACCCAGATATGGTGCGAACCGTCCATTTCACCAATGATGAATTTCACAATGGCGAATCTAGCATCTCGATCTTGACACGCATATTGTGTCGAGTCGCATCAACCACGAGCTTAAAGGAGACAACATCGCGGCGATGCTGCATGAGCTCTCGCTGAGCATGGACAGCGCCGTCTTCTTCGACGACAATGCGCTCGAGTGCGCTGCGGTGCGCGCCTCGTGCCCGTCGCTGGCGGTTGTTCATGTGCCCCTCTTGCCAAAGCTGACGCCCAACGTACGGTCGTTCTGCCTGCATAGCGCATCTCTTAGACCATTGGATTTGTTTAGTTTGCTGCGACTGTCTGGGCGCTCGACGCCAATTTTGGCGCCGTCGTCACGACAGCAGAAGACAAGGCGCGCACGGCCATGTACAAGCGGCAGCTGCAAGCAAAGGACTTTGGCCAAGATAATGATACAACCAACGTCCTTGCCGCACTTGGCATGCACGTTGAAATGCAGACGATGACGTCGGCGACGCCGCGGGCCACGCTCGAGCGCATCGCGCAGCTCTGCCAGCGCACCAACCAGTTCAACCTTCAAACGACTGCGACGCGAGCATACACGTCTGTGGTGCGTAAAATTGCCCGACGCATCGGTCACATCGCACGTAGGAGCAACTATATGCACTGGCATCGACCGCAACGATTCTGTACGTGTCGGTCACGGACAAGTATGGGCACTACGGCCTCGTGGGCGTCGCCGTCTCGAGGTGCACGGACAGGACGGTCCATATCCCTCTTCTCTTGCTGAGCTGCCGTGTCCTCAACCGCCGCGTCGAGCACGCCATGCTGCAGCGCATCGCGGTCGACAACCCGTGCAAGCGTCTCCGTCTTCTCCTCGAACCCACGATTCGCAACGGTGTGTGCCCCTATTATAGTATCAGTGTATCAAGTGTCGTGTAGCACCGATCCGGATGTTCTTGACGCAGCTAACCAACGGCACGGGTATCGAAGACCTCGAGACACGCCACGTGCTGTACGAAATCGAATGCGACGACGTGTGCGGCATTTATGACGAGGCGCCGATCGTGCAGCAGACTCTCGCGGCGCCGCCCGCGTCGGCTGTCGAATGTGCTGGCGAGCCCGGGTGCCCGACCGTCGCGCTGCATTGCCTCGACGACGTCACCGCGTTTTTTGCGCCCTTGGAAAAGGCCGACACCTCGTCGTCGGTGCTCGAGACCCAAGCCGCCAATGTGGCCAAGTTTCGGCGACTTCAGCGCGAAGCCGTCAAGCGGCACGTCGAACACGACACGCCAATCTGGACAACCAACAACGTGACCGAGCGCCAGCGTTGTCGGCAGCCGGCATGCGTCCAGGAGATTCCGCTCACGACGCAATGCTTGTTTCGACGGTGCCGGACGTGCTGCTACCAAACGCAAAAGCTCCTCGAGCGCGCGACGACCGGTGTCCATCCGCAGGCGCGGGCCGCCGCGTCGGCGCACTTGCGCGCGGCAGGCGTCGAGGTGGGCACCGCACCGTACTGCACGATGCACGTCAACCCACGCCGCGCCGCCAAGCGCAGCGCGACGGCAGAATAGATCACGCATAGGCGGTGTCAAATGAGTGGGATGCGCCGCCTCGAACATGGCTTTTTGGGTGCTCAATTTTCGCAATTCCAAGCAAAGTCCTGCCACATCGTACCAGCTGGTCGTTCTTATAGTAGGAGCATGCATCCTAGGTACATGGCGAGACGCATGCATTGTGGTTGTTGACAGCCACCTTGTATGCCATCATGCCAGCATCGAGCAAACTGCCGGCGTGAGCTGCGACACACGCTTTGCCCACATAGTTCTTCGCATTTCACACATCCAACACATATCACACACATACTTTCTGATCATTTATAAAACCACGCGACAACGGGGGATATCCATGTGTAAAACTGCCAGCCAATGGCATCCCGCACATTGATTACCTATTCGGTTGGCGGCCTACGATTGGCTGATATGATGTTGCGGTTGCTACCAAACGGCCAACGCCATTTTGACATTTTGCACTTTAGCCATGGCCGTCCAGCTGCATGTGACGCTCATCGAAGCCCGCGGCCTCGCGCGGGCGCAGCTCTTTGGAACACAGGACCCGTACTGCATTGTGACGCTGGGCCACCGAAGTGAGCGCACCGAATACCACGACAATGGCGGCGCCGAGCCCTTCTGGAATGCGCCCTTTGTGTTTTCGTTCAAGACACGCACTGAGAAGGCCGTCCTTGACATTGACATTCGCAACGCCAATGCAGCCTTCTTGCCCGACAATAGCATTGGCTTTGTAAGCCTTCGCGTCGACTTGGCCCAGTGGCGCGACCGCGAGTTGCGGCAAGAGTGGCTGCCCGTCTACCGCAAGCAAGCCAAGGCCCGTGCACCGAACGGCGCCAAGCATGACGGCGGAGAGCTCAAGGTGCGCATGGAAGTCCTGTACGACACGACGCTGGCGAGCCAGCCATCGGTCGTCGTGCTTACAAAGCAAGTCGCGAAGCCCATGGTTGTGACGCCGCCCAAGAGTCCGGTCGCCGCATCGCCCACGAGTCGCCCGCTGACGTCGAGTCATGTGGCGCCGCCGCCATCGCCGTCCAAAACCGTGCCGTCGTCACCGTCGCACAGCGACTACCGCCAGCACGAATGCCTCCAGCCTTTCGGAGGCTATTGGATCCCGCCCGAGCGCTGGACCCTGGACGTACGACCCTAGCTGTCCTTTCTAGAATATCTCATCTCCGTTTGGTGATGTAGAAATCGCACACCGCCCATGCCCTTCTCGTGGGCAGCGTGGGCAAGGAGCCTGTGCTTTTGCAGCTGGCGCTCTCGGTCGTCGACGTGACGTCGATCCTATCGACGTACGCGACGCTGCCCAAGGTCTTGAACACACCGTTTTTTACAAGACGGTGACGAGAGTGACGTAGGACCACATGCTGCTACGACTGCGCGGGTTCTCCTTGCACGACCACGCCTGGTGTGTTCTGTACGAGCATGCGGCGCCGTTGACGCACCTGGCGGCCGAGTCGTGGTCCCGGTCGACGACCGCGGTGGCCATGGACATTGCGTCGGCCATGGCGCAGCTTCACTTGGCCAAGGTCATTCACGGCGGGATTCGGCTCACGGCCGTCTTCAAGGACGACAACGACCGCTACCGCTTGCACGGCTTTCCAAGCCCTCGGCCCACGACAGGCGACGCCGTGGACCTGCCGTGGTACAACCTTCTACCTGTACATACACCCGTCTGCCATGTCTTATCTCGTATACAATGCAGGGCCGCGCCGGAGACCTTGAGCGACGAGGCGCTCACGCGCAAGACGGACGTCTACGCGTTTGGTATCTTTTTGGCTGAGCTCGGCCTGGGTGAAGCAGCGCCATTTGCGGTCCGTTGTCAACGGGATGTTCATTGTGGTCGGACGAACGAACGCTGGTGGTATGTAGGTGCATAAGCGGGAGGCGCGCGAGGCGTTTCTGGAAGCTGTGCGCGCGCAGACGTATACGCTCGAAGCCGAGCTCACCGAAGTCGTTCCTGCGCCAATGCTCTCGGTGGTACGATGATGCGCACCTTCCTCGTCCATCGTTTCAGTGAATGACCCGTAGATTCTCAAGTGCACGACGCCGCTGATCACGAAGCGACCGACGAGCCTCGTTGTCGTCGACCTCGTTCGTGGCGCGAAAGCGGCGTTGTTTCCAGGGGCGCACACAACGACCATGTGAGAATCAACGGACGACCCATAGATGTAGTAGGGAACAGGTATGTACCACAGAGAAGCGTGTGATAAGGCTTCTCTCGAGCGGACTTGAACCCTGGACGACAATGCAGGCATACCAGTCCCAGTCGTTGCATACGGTCTTTATGGAAGGGAGAGCGTCCAGGACTTTGTTGAAAGGATGTTTTTGAGCCGCTCCTCGCAGGTCCGAGTCTAAAAGAAGCCACCGGCTCTCGCTTCGTGGCGGCCTCATGGAGGTCGGAGCACGGGCAGCTAGATTAGCAAGTTGGCATCCACCGCACAACGAGCTACAAATCATCTTTTACATACACACCAGTTGCCAGCACGACGAGCTGTACTCGAAGACTTGTCCTCGACTTGCCCCAACCCAATCCTGGCCGCACACGGCGCCACGTATACGCTCCGCCTCTTTTTGACACCTTTGAAACTTGATCGACTCAGATTCCACGCACGACACAAACCGATTCTTGTCGTCGTACGACGATATCCTTTAACATTTGTGTTTATAGACAAAAGGCTACGCATACACTTCTTAATACGTCAAATGGGACGTCCAGCGATCAAGGTCGGGAATACCGCATGTGTTGCGACGACCAACACAGATGGTGTAACATATTTTCTGCGGTGGGCAATCCACGGCCTGCGAGCCAATGCTTTCATAAAATATCATCTTCCTATTGCTACCACCGATGCTATTCTAATCGCTCGGAACGAGCTCTCGCGCGACACAGAGAGGCTTGGCGCCTCCAAGGTGTCCGTGCGCGCGGTGGAAGCTGTACGGATATGAAACCTCTGAAAATGCATATTTGCGTGTCTATGCGGATCTATTGAGTTTCGCGACGCCGGAGGAAGCCCATAGATTTGCATTTGCCTCCGCCAAGCCACCACCACCTACCCACCCATGTACCGCCGTATCGCTGCCCGCTTCGCGCCGCTCGGCGCTGCTGCGCTCCTCTCGACGGCCTCGCCCGCGCACCTCAAGGCCGCCCCGCCCGCGTCCGAGGCGCAGGCCTTCTCGTGGGGCTCGAACGCCTTTGGTCAGCTCGGGCACGGCCACGAGAACGACATCTCGGCGCCGCAAGCCGTCAAGCTGCCGCACGCGGCCGGCGTCGCCTGCGGCGGCAACTCGTCCGCTGTCTTGACGGCCGACGGCCACGTCTACACCTTTGGCGCCGGCGGCAACGCGCGTCTTGGCCATGGCGACGACATTGATACGCCCAACCAGTCGACGCCGCAGCTTCTCCAGCTCGTCGGGGACGTCGTCAAGCTCGAAATTGGCGAGTACCACATGGCTGCGCTCACAAAGGACCACCGCCTCTGGACGTGGGGTCGCCACGGCTGCCCGCAGATCGGCCACGAGTACGACGCACCACATGACCACCATAGCCAAGACCATGGCTCATATGTCCTGTATGTGCTATGTAGCAATGCCAACCGCGGCTACCCCAACGAGATCAAGGAGCTCAGCGGCAAGGTCAAGGACGTGGCGTGCGGCCGCCAGCAGACGGTCGTCGTGACGACGGACGGCGAGGTACATTGCCGACGACAATGGCAGGAACGACAATGGCATGATTAGCTCTACGTCTGGGGCTACGCCCACGAAGGCGCGCTCGGGCTCGGAACCCGCGAACCCGTGTTCCGCCCCAAGAAGCTCGTCATCCCGAACGAGACCTTTGAAAGCGTCACGTGCGGCCGCGGTACCTCCCTCTCGCGTCGGTGGGTTCTTCAACGTGCGTCGTTTAGAGCACACGTTTGCCATCACGACGGACAAGAAGGTCTACAGCTGGGGCGCCAACGACAATGGCCAGCTCGGTGTCGCCGGCACGGTGCGTTACCAGCGGTCGCCGGTCCGCGTTACCTCGCTCGATGGCCTCGGCGTCGTTCAAGTCGCGGCCGGCGACTACCACAGCGCGGCGTTGACAGCGTCCGGTGAAGTGTACACGTGGGGCAGCGGCCGTGACGGGCAGCTCGGCTTGGGCACGACCGACGACCGCAACATCCCGCGCAAGGTCGCCGACCTCGACGGCGTTCGCATCGTCCACATTGCCTGTGGTGGTGGCCACACGGCGTGTGTTGCTGGTACGCACGCGTGCACGTGTCTCTATCTCGCTCACTCGTCGAGTAGAGGACGGGACGCTCTGGGTCTTTGGCCGAGGTCGCAGCGGGCAGCTGGGCCGTGGCGACCATCTCGAGAGCATCGCCGCCGCCCGCAAGAGCCCGATTCAAGTCCGCCTGCCGCAAAAGGTGCATGCGGTGAGCTGTGGCAGCGACCACACGATGGCCTTGTAAGCCGCGTCGTAGAGACTTTCCATTTTGTACTGTAGAATGCACGTTAATGGTGTATCGTCGTTTCGGTCTCCTTGCACGCAACCACTTGAGACAGCAAGGAACCATGGACAAGCTGCATTACGAGCACGCATAGGCGAGTGAGAGGTCGGTCTACTACGGCGCAGAAGGGCGTGTCGAAGAGGCTGCATCCGTGGCGGTTCCTGCTCGACCCGTGAACCAGAACGTTCCTTGGGAGTCGAGCGATCATCATGCCACGGGCAGCGTGTCTTCTTCGTCATGGTACTGAGAGTGCATAGCCGATGGCCATGCACACGCTTAGCGTCATCCACCGCGAGGGCGCGCAAAGCCCGATGGCTTGTAGCGCGCCGTGCTCGTCGCACCCGTGAGCGGGTTGTAGTCGTCGTGCTCCGGGCGGCGCGGGGATGCCGCAGGCTTCCGGGCTTCCTTCTTCTTTACGGCAGCCGCTTCTTTGTGGGCTTTGCTCTAGCCTTCACACATGAGCGGCGCGAACGATCATAGTACGGGCGACGCCACCTGAGCCTCGAGCTCGAGCTGCTGGCGCTCCCGCGCCTTGCGCGCTTCAATGCGAAGAATGTCAACGCGGCTTGGATCTACGCCGCCACAAGAGGCGTCCATAAGACAGCTGGTACAGCTACAACGCGCGTACCGTTGGCCACTTGGAGCGAGCGCGCGACGTCCCAGCGAACGAGGAGCTGCCCAAGGTGGTGGTCGGCGTACAGGACGACGCCCGCGCCGAGGAGAAGGAACCAGCCATACGCCTGCGCGAATGCGAGGGCCTCATCGAGCATATCGAGGTAGAAGAGGGCTGCGCCGGCGACGCCGAGGACGAGGACCCCACGGGCGCGCAGGAAGGACGCGAGAAGACCTGCCATGGCCGCTAGCTATATCTTGGCTTCCAAAACCGCTCTTTGGTTCTGCCACATGGCGTAGTCCAAGCGACATACAATTCCTTTGTATCTTTTAAAAGAGCCTGTTTACGGACTGGCATTCCTACCCGACATAAAAAGCATCTAGAGTTAAACACCGGCCAATCCCGTGCGCGCATTCCAATGGCGTCCCAACGATTGGCTAAAACTCGGAGCACGTGACCGTCGACGCATGAGCGCGACGCGGCTGCCACTCCGCTTCCAATGCCCACTCTGCTTAGAGCTCTTAGCGTCGCCGGTCCAGCTGCCCTGCTGCAAGAAGCACCTCTGGTACGATAGCCCATGATCGCAGGTGGCGTGACCCCGGCTAGCCTAGGCTGCTTTGACCGGTCGATCGCGATCACCTCCACAAGCTGCGCCTTCTGCCGCAACCGCATCATTGGCTTTGCCCGGCGCAAGACCAACAAGGTATATCCTACTAACTCGCCTATGCATCCAATCGACCAAGTCACATATTAGGTCGACGAAGCGTTCGCTGCCGAGATTCAGGCACGTACGCACGGCCTCGGCGAAATAACATTCGAAGAAGAGACCACGCCGCCGACCGATCAAGTAGCTGTGGTCGTGTCGCCCTTTTACAATACCACAATGGAGTAGATTCCAGCCAAACCCGGCGAGCTCCACGCCTACTACGAAGAATGCAAGTCGCAGCGCGCCCAGGCGCTGCTGGCACAAGAGACGGAGGCGCTTGAGAAGACACTTGCGTTCTTACAGACAGACCCCGACTTTACCGACGTACTACACGTACAAGAAGCCGCGCTGTCAGCATCGACGCCACAACCGTCCTCCTCCGTACTCAACCGGCTTGCAAACATGCTTGATCGTTATTAAAAATGCTACTAGAAGCTCTACTCGATCTTCTCGTCGACGTCCCAACGCCGCCCGACCAAGAACGTTCTGTCCTCGCAGAAGAAAGGTCGAGCAAAACCCAAGGCACCCGCGGTGCTCGTCTCGCTCAAGTCGTGGTCGTGTGATAGCTGCACGTTTGTGAACCGCACCAACCTCAGCACGTGCAGCATGTGTGGATCCCACAAAGCTGCTACTAACACTTTAAAAACATAAGTCGCATATGCTATCAATCACCAGATAGAGTCCCGTGATTGTTTGAACGTGAAGAGCAGCGTGAAGAGTGGCACTTGAGAGTGAGTGTATGAATATAAATGCACCACTTGACGTGAAGAGGGAGACGATTTTGCTCTCAAGTTATGATTTTGACGGAGTCTATATTTTGTATATTTACGGCATTCCATCCATCTTGGCACGTGGTGGTGCGCCTGCGAGTGTCACGGCGCTTGCATAGCCTTTTGGACACATAGTAAGTTTTGTTTTCCATGGTACATTTTACAACCGAACTTTTTACAGTGTCAAGAGCACCGTTGACTAGTCAGTCATAGCACTGCCACGCACTCACAAACGCGGGTACAGCGCTCAGAGCCCGCAAGTCGTTGCTAATTGCATATGTCGCTGCGGCACCGGGCCCCATTTTGGCTTTAGCAGGCGTTGGATGCTTGCATGGTGCTGCCAATTCGCCAGATCCAGCAGCCGCGGCGTCAGCACACACGCATCGCAGAGGTCGACGACGACGTCGTACAAGCCAAAGTAGACAGCCGCGTACATGACGTGGGCTGACAGATGCGGCAAATGCGTCGTTGCTCGCTGCAGGCGATCCAGGCCGTCGCGAGCGAGCCACGGCCCCAAATGTTTCTGGACGCGCTGGAGGTGCTGCAGTAGCCTCGCCGTCGGCCAGATCTCGAGCTCTGCCGCCGACGGTGTGCAACTGCTCAAGCACACGAGATCTCTCGGTAAGCCTTCCTGGAACGTGACGACGACGCGGACAAGGTCGGGATCTCGGATCGGGTGGTGGGTCATGGCAGTTGAAAACTGCAAAGTGGATCGTTCTTGGATCGTTTTGGTCGTGGGCCTGCGTCTTCATGGGCGGCCGCGCGAGTGTGTCGGTGCAAGGATCCCTTAGTCTAATACTCCGGGACCATTGATCGATAAAGCGCAGAATCAAAGAGACAGGCGGTGGGATCCGAGTTGTGCGCCGTCTCGCAGGCGCTCGAATTGCTGCGCCAGCGACGAGCTACGTTGCGCTTTAGCCCGGCAGACGCCACCAACGCCACTCCATAGGCAGAAGGTTTTCATTCCGTCGACCATCCGTAGCTTGAGGAGGTGCGCCTCTGTATATTGTGACCGACCTTGGCCATGGTTTTCTGGCCAAGACGAGACCCGTTTGTTTGGTTGTGGATGCGGCCAGTACGAGGTCGTCGCAAGCAGTCCACGCGCCGCGTTCGCTTTCAGGGCTACTAGTCTAGCGTTTCTGCCAGCGACCGGGACCTGTTCGATTGCTCGTTGGATCGCGTGCAAACAACCACATGGGTTCAACCACACGCGCACCAACTCGAGCGCACCACAGGACTTGAGCGCAGAAAAAAAAGTGTGTGGGATTGACAAATAGAGCGGACGAAAAGCATGGATCTCTACCGCGTGTAGCTACTACTGGGCGTCGTGCTCGAGGATGACGGAGGCGGCGTAGCGCTGCTGTTGTTCCACGATCGCCCGCGGGGCTGAATGTACGGCTGGTACCGTCGCGACGACGCAGACCCGCTGCTCGGCGCATGGAAGGACGAAGAGGACGACGACGACGATGTAGACGCAAAGTTCTGCCACGATGGCACGAGGTCCGTGGCCCGCTCGTGCCCGAGGCGCGGATCCCCCACGTCCCAGAGCGACTTGCGCTTCCGTCGCGAGCCAATGGCGTTCATCTCGCTCGGCGCGCGCGGCCGCTCCGCGCTCGTCGACGGACTCCGCACGCTGTCATCGACCGACGGCGACCGCGATGACTTGGATACGCTCGGCGATGCGACGGGAAGCGTTGTTGGCTCGGGCTCATCTACGTGCAGGGAGGTCGGCGGCACGACGCTCGGTAGTCCTTCGGTGGACGCCGTGTCGACCATCGGCTCGTCGACTGCCTTGTCGTCCACGGGTTGCTCGACGACATGAACATTCGCAGTAATCATCATCACGCTGCGTTCGGGCGCCGCTTGCACTGGCGCGGGCTCGATGTCGTCTTCCTTTACAAGGCCTTCCTCGTCGTCTTCGGGATCGGGCTCCTGTGACCGATGATGGCCGATGCTCGGCAATGGCAGGGGCGTCGAGGCCTCCGCAGGCGCTACGCATGGCACGGATGGTGTCGGCTTGCTGTCCATGGCCGTGTCAATCTGCGGCGGTGCCATCGTCTCGGCGTCCTGCTTTGGGCTCGCCATGGTGTCGATCGTCGGGGTTGGCCGCGGATGGTTGTGTTCCCAGCGTGACCGCCACTTCTTGGTCGGTGGCACAAACGGGTTGGTTCGCCACGACTGGCAGTCGCTCTTGTGCATCGTGAGCGCCGCGTCGTCGTCAAGCGAATCGCGCTTCCGGTCCTTCTTGCGACCCTTCTTGCGCTTGGCCTGGCGGTCGCTGCTGCTGTTGTCCGAGTGGTTCATGCTGTCTTCTTCCTTCTTCTGCATCTTCTCAATGGACGCCCATATCTGCGCCGTCTTCCGCTCCTCGCGGCTCATCCGTTGTCGCTGTCGCCCGGCCCGCTGCTGCCTGCCCGAATGATGATGATGTAACGCGAATTGTGGTTGGCCAAAAAGTCCTTCGACCTCTTTCATTTTATCCATTGACCACCATCGACTATGAAAGGTTTATTTTTATGGCATCCAGAAAATACGGATACAAATAGCAAGCTATTTAATGCCAAACGAAGGGAAGTTCAGATGCTGCCAAGTGGCGTGCGCAATCGTTATGGCCTCGTATACTGAACACAAGTGCCCTTAAGGAAAGTGTATTTTATTGAATGCCCCGTTAAGTACGACTTTCCATGCGGCACGATTGACCTATTTAGGATATGCAAAGTCCTATATAGGACAAAAACATGCGCACTTGTGCGGACCGATTTGAATTTCGCGCCCAGAGCTCCGATCCTGCCTGGCCTGGTTCAGAAAACAAGGTCCTTCATTGTACAGTCGGGCCTTTTTATCTACAGTTACATCAAGAACGTCTAGGCAAGCAGACTCAAGGCGTGACATGGCCGTTGGCAATCCACAGCTGAAGGTTGCTCTGCAGCAACTGCAGCGTCAACCTCGTCTCCCTAACGTGGTCGGACGATGCCTCGGGGCTCGATTCATCAAAGTCCATATTCGCGCCGTCCAATGCGTCCTTGGCGAGGTCGTACGCGACCTGAGGCTCTTGGAGCACTTCGTATACAAACACCGAGTAGTTAAGCGCGAGGCCGAGCCGGAACGGGTGGGTCGTCGTCATGCACGTCTTGGCGAGCGCATAGGCTTTCGAGTACGACGCGCGGCCGCGATCAATATGCTGGAGGTCGCTGCTGCTACCGCGGAGCTCGGCCAAGTACCGGTGGTAATCACCTTGCGTCTTGAGGAAGCAGACGCTGTCGCAGTCGCTCGACTGCGCGCTCGGAAGAAGGTACTTTTCAAGCAGCGAGAGCATCTCGAGGCAAATGCGCTGGTACTCGAGCTCGAGTTCGCGCTCGTACAGCTTGGTGCAGTCGGTCTCCGACCGGTTTTTTGGACTCGAATGGAGATCAATTGCATGCACCACGCGGACAGCGATCCGGATACGGTCGATGACATGTTTGTACGCGGTTGTCAAGAGGTTGATCTCGGGTGTCGAGAGCGGCAGCGGGTGCGTCGTCACGAGCGTGCGCATGATGCGCACCATGTCGTCGTACCGCTCGGCCTGCTCGGTGAGCTCGGCCATGACAACCAGCGAGGTGCGGGATAGGGACGCGAGGCACTGCATCTTAAATGGGCGAAAACAACACTGAGAGCTCGCGTTGGTGATGTCAAGAAGCGTGGGAGGACGCGCGTTTATGTCCGAGCGATTGACTCACTTGGGCTTTGTATCGCGCGATGGTTGCACAACAGATAGGTCAACATGCGCGTGGGTGCAGAGAGAGTAGGATCGTCTGTCAGTCAGCGTCGACTTTTTGCCGCCTGCCAACAACGGTCGACACGACCGTGCAGCTGCGATCGACAACGACCGACGATTCAAGCGTCGGCGTTGCATCTGAGCGTGAAGCCGAGTGAGTGCGTGCCGCATGCGTGGATGTTACGATAGAATCTGATGGGAATCCCGCGCATTCTACGCACCCCACATTATTTACTTTTCTTTGCCGTGCCAAACGCTTTCTGGTGTCTTACGAGTCGTGTCGTGGGCTGCGCGCTTGCTGTGATCGACTGGTCAAGACGCGTTAGGTGGCACAAACCTTGTTGCAACCGCTTGCGTTCGTGCCTTACGTGGGTCAACACTCGGTCGAAGACGCCTCGCTTGGCTGGCGACGCGTGCGACGCGAATCTACGGTAGTAGTAGCCCAAATCTCCGTCGCATGCCAAGGATGACGGCACGCGATTGGATGCTCTATGTTTACGGATTCGACCACCGGTAGGACGCGATGGTTATCCGGATGACCGCCCGAGCATGTCATCGCAAAGCAGCATGAATGAGCATGACCCCTAGCGAGGTGTTGTGTCTTGTGGTCAACCCGCGGCTTCGCATTCGTGCATATATGGCTCAATTCATGCAGCTGGTCTCGTGGCCCGCCTAAACATACATCTTGTCTCGTCACGTTGTGTCTGGCCCGCCTTTTTCTCCCTGCGTTGATACGCGTGTGGTCCGTCCCGTTCGCTAACGTTGAAAGCTTTCAGCCGAGCTGCTGGCTCTCAAGGTGTGTGCTTTGCGTGACCGAGCTAGGGACGTATTATATCTTCCCGTGCTTCCACTCGCCCCAATGCGCAGATGCGGCTTAACGCCGTGCATGGTGTCGTTGCAAGCGATGTAGACACGGTTTGCAGCCACGCTGGCGGAAGCCGCCCGAGTAACGACGCTTTTGATTCGCCCGTTTTTGGCCTATTTTCAGCCAATCGCATGCACGTTGTTATCTGGCTTGTTCAAACCAGGCTGCGCGTTGGCCGCCATGGCTCTCGGAATCAAAGCGCTAAAAGTTGGAGAGACGATAGAAGACACTTTGGAGAGCACGAAAGCCATGTCACGTTGGCGTCGGAGGTGTACAGCAAAAGTTAACAGTCAATTGTTAATCGTGGCAATGGTAGTATATAGGCATATTTAGCCGCATATAGCCACATTTGGCCATCACGATTGATGCCAATCCACCTGCACCAGCATTTATGGCCATCAACCCATACCCCTTCTATGGGCTAGCGCTGCATGGAGAGCTCGGACATAGGATCTTCATCGAGTACTAGTGTGGCGAAGGGAATAAAATAGCGTCGTCTTGATCCTCGGTGATGCTCCTAGTCGCTCCTGACGGTATCGTGCAAAATGACTCCAAAGCACACGCTAGATTTTCACAGTTTCCCGTCGGGCGCTTCCACCAAACCATGCTCGTTCGCTTAGTATGGCGCAGCATTCGTCACGTGGTCTTGCTTCGTGACGTCGAACCAAATAAAATGTTTGGTCGATTTTTGCGCCTTCGTAATCCACGCCCGCGCACCACACATTTCGGGCTCTCGACCTCGGCGCCAGGAGGCCATCGTTCCTTCCGAATCGCCGTGTGCATAGAATTGCGGCACCCAGTTGGTGTGTATGTGCACGTCATGTAGGCAACTTGACCCGCGACCTGTCAAGAGGCGTGGACCTGCCGATCGCCGCTTTTTGGCGGCCGACTGGATTTCTGTCCACTTGATTTCTGCAGGACGCGCTGTGCGCCACAAGAACGTGCTGTCCCTGGGTGTCCCCTGCCAAAGTCTTCAACAATCCGGATACGAAGAGCATATCCGTAGATTCGCCACCAATCAGCGGCGGCCACACCGAACCAAATCTTAGTGGGGCAACCGGTACCATACATCCCAAATTGCCATGGTCTGGTCCCGCTCACTCCTCACATCGTCGCGCCTTCCGGCGCCGCTGCTCAAGCGCTTTTATGCAGCACCGTCGCCCGTGACGCGCGCGTCCTCGTACATCCCGCCCACGACCAAGGTACACACGCCTCGCTCTCGGCAACGACTCCTCATGCTTTGAGCTTGCAGTTTACCAAGATCATGTGCACGGTGGGCCCCGCGAGCGAGTCGCACGAGACGCTGACACAGCTCATTGAGCGTGGCGCCCGCGTCTTTCGCCTCAACTTTAGGTAGTACTTGTATGCGTTTTCTTGTGCCTGGAGCTCACGACGGCGGACTTGTAGCCACGGCGACTTTGAGTCGCACGGCCAGCGCCTTGACGCGATCCGCGCGGCGTCCCGCGCGCTGCAAATCCCGGTCGCTGTCTGCGGTGACTTGCAAGGCCCCAAGATCCGTGTCGGCACCGTGCCCACGTCCGTTCAAGTCGGCGACACGGCGTCGCGCTCGGGCGGTGGTCTCATCCACGTGCACGCAGGCGACGTCGTGGTTCTGTCGGCCACCGCGACCGAGGCACACATTCGCGACGACGGCACGCCCGTGCTCTCGCTCACGTACAAGGATATGGTCCACGAAGTCGAGGCGGGCCACCTCGTGCTCATCAACGACGGCGCCATTCGCATGCGCGCGATCGGTGTGGACGGCGATGAGCTAAAGTGCCAAGTGCTCGTGGGCGGTGACATCACGTCTGGCAAGGGCATCAACCTCCCGGAAAGCAACATCAAGGCGCCGGCGATTACCGACAAGGACTGGGCGTGCGTCGAGTGGGCCATGGCGCACGACCTCGACTACGTCGCGCTCTCGTTTGTGCGCAATGCAAACGAGGTGAACGCGCTCAAGGCCAAGCTCAGCGAGACGGACGGCCACCGGTTGCACATCATTTCCAAGATTGAAAAGCCGCAGGCCGTCGACAACCTCCACCAAATCGTCGAGGCCAGTGACGGTGTCATGGTGGCCCGCGGTACTTGTATCACCTCTCGCACACTTGCATCTCACAACCCATCCCCATAGGCGACTTGGGCGTCGAAATGGAGCTCGCGACCGTCCCGATCATCCAAAAGCACATCATCGAGACGTGCCAACTGCACGGCAAGCCGTGTATCATCGCGACCCAGATGCTGGAATCGATGATCACGAGCGTGATTCCGACGCGCGCCGAGGCCAGCGACGTCGCCAACGCGATCTTTGATGGTGCAGATGCCGTCATGCTCTCGGCCGAGAGCGCGACGGGCGCCCACCCGGCTCTCGTTGTCGAGACGATGGGCCAGATCATTGAGGCGTCCGAAGGCTACATGCGCAAGCACGTTAAGAAGGAGCAGCACGCGCCGCCGACGCGGACCGCCGCCGCCCACCACCTCACGGCGTCGCTGGCCTATGGCGCGTGGCACGTGGTCCAGGAAACGAAGGCCAAGATGGTCGTGTGCTGGTCGCAGCACGGCAACGCCGCGCGGTTCCTGAGCCAGTACGACTTTACGATCCCGATCCTCGCCTTCTCCGAGATCGAGCGCTCGGTGCATCAGATGGCGCTCTTCAACGGTGTGACGCCCGTGCACATGGCGGTGCCGTCGGGCACGGCGTCTTTTATTGACGCGACCGAGGCTCTCTTGCTGCAAAACAAACTCGTCACGAAGGGCGACATGGTGCTCTTCCTCGGCGGCCGCCCCTCGGCAAGTCCAAAAGCACGAACGCCATGATTCTGCACGAAATCGGCAGCAAGGCGACGTAATGGAGTGTTTACGTATGTGAAATATTTTCGTCTCAAACTGGACTACAGAAGGACGCGTCGTCCGTGTACAACTTGTCCATGTTTGGGATAGGGTCGACGGCACGCTTTGTGGATGATATTTAAACACAATCTCGCGTTGATTTACGCAAAGCAACTCATATCTATCTATCTATCTATCTATCTATCTATCTATCTATCTATCTATCTATCTCGTGCATTCCCGCATCAAGTCTACTGGGTCCGAAAAGCCGCCAAGACGACCCGCCACCATCCCGTGGCCTCGGAAACAAGGTCAACAACAAAAACAATCTACAACTGGTTGATGATGATTGAAGGCCTCTCATCGCACCTGTACGAGCCGCGATGCACACGAAAGTCCTCCGTAACTATGGACCATCACACGTTCTTTCTGGCTGCAGCCGTGTACATAACCTGGTCTTCTCGAGTCGTCGGGTGTCTAGCTTGCCACGCCAAAGACCATGCATGGTTCTGACTGCTAGTACTGAGCATTGTCAATCGTGCTTTGATTGGCGAAACGGATTTTTAGATTTTTGCATTTGGCGCCAAAATCCCACTCTTAGCAGCAAAGCAACCTTTTAAAACAATGGCCCAACCGTTTAAAGTACCGCCTAAACCATTACGCTGTGGCGGAAGAGAACGTCGTATCCAATACGAATGGCGTCCAAGCTACTGTGAAAAATTTCGCGCCGACTGCCCATTCTACCACCCCTTGGTCAATCACCCACTGCGCACTCGTCGATTTGATTGGTCGACCATCCATGTGGGCGTTGACGCCGACACTGCGGGAGCGAGCGCTCATGGAAGCGCCCCACACAAAGCGCGCACGCAAGCCCACGTTCACGCGGTCCAAAAGCTCGCCGCTACGGGCCCTTGTAAACGACCCGCCGCCGCCGGAGACAATTCCGTTTGCTATGGTCGTGGGCCCGAAAAAAAACAGTGACGTGGCATCGTACGCAGCGTCCGTCGTGCACATCGTGCCCTCTCGACCTGTTGAGCCCCAACGCAAGGAGTATTTCGAGTTGAACTAGGTGTCGCGCTTGATTGCACGTCGTGTTTTGTGATTCTAAACTCGACAACTCGAACTACGAGCCTCGTCTACTGCAACGAATCGAACGGCCACACACATGGTCATATTGACTCGTACTGAGGCTTTTTAAGCAAAGTTATTGTGCTATGATTCACGTTTTGTCATGGGCGATTCCTTGTGCCGGAGTGTATCAAGAAGTACTCATGCCTAACGACGGAGGGACTGTAGCGACTTCTTGATTAATCGTTCTTGACGTCAAGCATCCATCCTGAAAGCGAATCTCCATATTATTCTGTTTGAAATACAGTGTTTTTTCAAACGCTGTTTCACAATCGGCACAACGTTGGCGGCATGCTTTGCACGCGGGTTGCGCGCATGCGATCGTGCAACGACGTGGAAGAGAACATAGCCTCGCGGCGTCGAACCAATGAGCTCTACCAATGTATTAGTACACACGTCAGCCTCGCACGCGAGATTGAACGAATCGACGCGCGCGGCCCCGGCCACATCCATGGCCGCGGTACGCGTCTCGGCTGCACGTTCTTTGCATAACGCAGGTGTTGTGTGCTCCCTGTGCCATCCATAGACATGCTGCCAAGGCCGACCTCCCGTGTTTTTGAGCCCGATGGCTCGGACAGAAATGGTGCTTACCGTGTTGAAAACAAACGCGCCCAGCTGGTACACGTGATGGTATATTTGAAATGGCTATAAGGTCGTGTGTTTTATACGCCAGCGTGTTTTTCGCATTTTGAATTAAACCATTCGGTGGAGGTCAGCGATGCAATCGCATACATGCATGAGAGACGTGCCAGAATTGAATGCCGACGGTGAGGCTCCATGCTTGTTTGTCATGTTAGGTAAACACTTCACCCTCGTATCAAGCTGCGAATTGAAATAATGGACCGCCGAGGCCGCCTATCCATCCATCTCTTCGTCTCTGTCGGACAAAATGCAGTGCCCACGACGCCACTTCGCCACCGCCCAACCGTGCGAGCGAGGATCCAATAGCTGACAACACGACGCGATAGGCTGTCCGGTAGCAGATATGTAGTAGGTTGGAGGGTATCAAACATGCACTCGCAACGCGTACACGTATGTGGTACGAACAGATCCTCGATGTAGTACCCTTCAGCACCTCCTCCTCCGCTTCTTCCTTCAACGTCTGAACGACGCTCATCTTTTATCTGGCATGGGGCGCATCTCGGTCATGAACTCTCGCATGCGCTTCGTGAGCGCGGGGAAGAGTATGAATGCGTCTCCTGGAAGTTCTCTTCCCAATACGTCGCCACAATGCGATCTGTGCGGCGGATGATGATGATGATGATGATGATGGCGCGACAGGCTGTGCAACTGCCCAAGAAGTGCAGGTGAGTCGCTTGACCACTACGACGGACTGTGGTCGCCGTCGCTCGCAGATCTAGTACATAATTTGGTATCTCGTCGGACGCTGCACAACTTGCCTTTTGCTCGACGGGATCCCTCCTCTGGACCATGCTCTGTGACCCGCCTCTATGACATACAACGCGCAAGTGCAATGTCGAAATGCAATTTCGCGACGCACCTTGTTTCGCACAACAGACGCCTTTTCGCAAGGAGACACCCGTGACTTATGTTGTGTCTGAGTGCCATCTGGCGCTGGCTTCACAGTGTAGAATCGACTGCGTCACTCTAGCATTGGCCATCATCCCACCGCGACCATGCCGTGTGCACTCTGCGCCAAATCGTTCAACCTCATCCGACGGCGCCACTCGTGCGTCGTATGCAGTGCAGCCATTTGCCGCGACTGCGCCGGCGACAGCAACAAATGCCTCCACTGCAAGGAGGCGGCCGCGACCATCCTTCCGTCCAAGCCCACCACATCGCCCAAGCTCCTCTTGAGCTACCGCGGGACGCGCAAGCCAGCCAAGCAAGACGGCGTCTCACGGCGGCCGTCGCCACTTCCGATTCCTGCGCGCCGGCCGTGGGTGCTCACAACGCCGTTGCATTCGACACCCGCACACGAACCAGCTGCAGCGCAAGAGACGTTTGACGCAGCAGACTTTATCGACGACCACGCCGAGACCGACCACGACGACCCGATTGCGTTCCTGTCCGTGCGATGCGTTCGCGTGGAGCCCCACGTGGCGGCTTTGCGCGCGCACGGGCCGCTGAGCAACCTGCTGCACCAGGCGGCTTTTGCGGCCAACGCCACGATCGCCAGCATCCAGCTCATTGATCGCCACCGCGTCTTTGCGGTCGCCGCGTACGGCTACAACGACTGGAGCCAAGGCGTGTGGGACCATTCGATGCTCGTGCAGTCGCTCGAGGCGACGCCGGTGCCGGGGACCTCGAGCTTTCAAGGCGTTGGCCACTTGACGAGCCATCCGTGGAGTGCGCAGCCGCATGTCAAGACGTTTATGAGCATCCCGGTCATGGTCGACGACGACGACTGCATCGGGACACTCGACTTGGCCTCGACGTCGTTCACGGTGCCAACGCCCGAGAGCATTCAGGAACTCCAAGTGATTGCGCAGTCGCTCGGCCCGATGCTCGTGGGCCTCATTGACGCGTGGCCGGCCAGCCCACAAACGAACATGCGCCTCGATGCGACGCCGACCTCGTATGGCGAAGCCCACGAGATGATGCAGGCGCTCATCGCCAAAGCCGAACACACGGCCGACGTCGTGCGCTCCCAGCGGTCGCTCGCGATCAAGCCGCTGGCGTCGTCCGAGATTGGCATTTGCTCGATTTAGACTTGTAATTATCGCACTATTTATATCAACATACAACGTCCCTTGCCGTGTGCATCGATAGTAGTACCCTTCTTCACGAGGCTCTTTGGTCCGCTGCGCTTGGCGCCTACGGTTCTGCGACCGATTGCGGTATCGCCAAGAGGATGAATAGTGTCCGAAGGTGCGACATCGTACCACGTTGTTTAGCCGCCGTGCGCGTGGGCACGAAAGGATGTTGGTGACGCACGCGCATCATGGCAGGGGCTGTGACGTGGCGCTCTGCGACGCGCCCCAAGCCTCGTCGTGATTGAGTCCGACACCTAGAATTGTGGCGCGTCAAGCGTTCCGAGCTGTCCGATGTTATAGACTCCACCCGCGCACAAGTTCTTTTCACTACGCACGCTGCTGCGTCCCGACGACGCGTCTGGCTCGATGGCGCGTGTCGATACTAGTTGGGCGTTGAGGGGTTAAATGGATCAACCAAATACGACAAGCAGTTTTCTCCATGCAGGACGCCTTTCACATGTCGGCCATAAAGTGCGAGTAGTCGACTGCGCTGGCACAAGAGATCTCTCTGACTTCAGTCTCGAAACCATTATCGTCCGTGCAGTGCGCGTTTTTCAGTGCTTCGGGGGTCGTCAACCCTATGCGTTTCAACTTGTAACCTTTCAACCTTCTCCGAAACGAAGAGCTACGACGAAACATACATCTCATCGAGAGCATAAATACATGCTTGATGCCCTTGCTCTCATGTACCGCGCCCATGGCGTTCAAGCTAGAGCTCATATATGGCTAACGTTAGAGCTAGACCGCACGCTGAGGGGCGGTCACGTTGCACGGTTGAGAAAAATGAGACGGCCAATGAGAGACGACACCCATGGTCGCGTCTCTCGTTGATTGGTCGATCGCTTCACAAGTGCGATCTTCTCGCGGCCGTTGTTGTACCGTACCACACACGCATGCGAGAGGGCAATGGACGTGCAAGCCAACGGATAGACGTAGACAGTATTGTGTGCTACTGAGATGAATCATTGACTTGAGCGATGTTTCTCCTACTTCGGCTCGCAGAAGTCCTGCGCAGCATCTTGCGGCGTGTCGCGGGTTGCCGGATGCGAGCCTTGTTTTTCGCTGCCACCAGTTATTCATACAACACTCGTACAGCCCAACGAATGCTGGCGCGTTTCAATTATGCTTTCGGGGGCTTCTTGGGGAACGGTTCGTGACCCAACCTGTCGTTCTCCGAACATGCACAGTGCAATTTCAACGAATCGAGCTCCATTTTGGACCATATTCAACGAGTCTTCCACGCTGCCAACGAAGAGCGGAATGGTCGCGCTGCTTTTGTCTCGTGGCATCCGCTTGTATGAGGACCCATGTTTGCTTGGGTACTAGCGAAAAGCTGTTTACGCCAGGGTACACCCGGCCATATCCAGCAAGTGCAGCACGCTTCGTACGGTGGCAAGCTAGTATGCAACAGTCCGCTCGCTCGTGCTTGTGGGGACTTCTCCAAGAGGGAGCTGGGCGAATTACCGCGGTGGCGACGACAGGTTGTGCATGCCTCGTTACCACGCAGTCGAACGGTGTCCCACTAGCATGAGCCCTTCTGTCGACCTTACCTGAAAGGGCTGATAGCACACATATGCACGCATCTAGAAAGGCGCGAGGTTGCCACCCAAGAACGCGTCGCGTGGCCCGTACGTTTCCCGCGCTTTCTCTGCCTACCACCACCAAACGACTGCCTACAACTACGGCCGCCAAAGACACGGCGCGCATATCAGCATCATCATTTTTGTTGTAAGCTCGTCTTCTTCTACCTATCTGTTACGCTATCAAGTTTGGTTCCCGGCCTTTTCGTCGAAAAGACTCGCGCTGTCGCTGTCGTTGTCTTGGACGATGCTCGAGCGCGGTGTCGCACCAAGGTACGCGAGCGCGCGCTGCTTGACCGTCGACGCAAACGACTTCTTGCACTGCATGCCAAAGGCCTCCGCGATCGCCTCCTTGACGATCGAACAGGTCACGAGGCTCGGTTCATACTGTACGTGTTCAACAACAACGTTCACCGCCTAGTCGTAGTCCATCGTATGATGACGACCGAGTTTCTACGCGGTAGAAGTGTCGTACCATTTCGACCGTGAGTGTTCGATTGCGCTGCTGGCGCGCCGACTTGGGCGTGTTGGGATGTTGGACCTCGTGGCGGCTCAGTGTGTGGTTGTGGATCAAGTTGGCCATCGTAACCTTGACCTACGTAGTGTGTGAAGGATGACGAAGCGAGTAGTACGAACATACCTCGCCGTTGCGCTGTTGGCACGCGCGGACCTCAAACGGACAGGTCGGGTCGGACTTGCACTTCCAGGACCGGTGCCGCGAGTTGCCTTTGGCAAAGTAGAGCTGGAAGTGGCTGCGAAGGCCGAGGAGGCGAACCCTCTCGGTGCACTCGGCCCAGCTCTCAAAGGTCGCATCAGACACGACAAAGCCGAGGTCGGCCGCGATGTCCATGAGTGTCTGGAGGTCGTGGGCGACGTCGTCTTGCACGATGCGATCCAGCTCATCGTTCTCGTCGTCGTCGTGCTCGTCGTCGTCGCCAAAGCGGCGCTTCTTGGAGCTGCAGAGGATGCGGTCGATCTCCATACTGGTATCGATCGTATACCAACGACGTCACGTTTGGTGCAATGACACCACCTGGCCCGCAAGTCGTCTACCTACTGGTATCCGGACTTGGTTCCACAAAACTTCTGACACTTGGGTGTTGGTCGAATGCGCCGAGCCGCCGCAACACAAAGCCATGTGTAACGACGAGCGGCATGCGTTTGCGCCTTGTTGGTACGCAACGCTGGGACAGTCGTTACGCCGGGGGGCCATGACCACCGCCCAGAGGCAGTCCTTCACAAACAGCAACGTTCGCGCAATGCAGATGCGATTCCATTATGCTGACCCATATCTTTCAACTGCACGAGAAGAGTGTGGCTCGTCGTATCGCACGCCGTGCGGTCGCAGGGTCGCATGGTCGTCGGCTTTTTTCATGCCGTTGCCACTCGTTCGGTGCGGCGATGATGCAATCGACCGAGACCTTTCAAAAGAAGAAGCGCACCCAAAGTAGCACGATCGCCGCTAATTTTCCCGATTATATTACCCGCTAAAACGCCGTGTACTATGCACATTATTCAAATGTGTCACTGTAAAGTCAACGAAAATACCCAGGCGTGCTCGGCGCAACGTTACCGCGCCGTCTCGCGTTTTGTATGAACGCTGCCCATCAACGCGGTTGGGACCAGTGCGCGGAGCGGCCACACGCTTAGTAACCAGAACTATGCGTGCTAAGCTGTTACGGATGCTAGTATGCCGGCTCGGAAATAACACCAGCGAGGTACAGTGCTCGCTCGACCCTTGAAGGGATCGATGGAGGCAATTGATGGAGGCGCGCACTAATGCTTCTTGTCTTGCGAGTGCGCGCGGGCTAGTTCCGACCCCAGTGGGTGCTGGTTTGTGCCAAGATATATTATTTCGCGCCCGACAATTTATGATTAGAACGAGCTCTCAGCGTGACCCGACGCGCTACCAAACAACCCGCCAACCTTCGATTAGAAAAATGCATCCAGTCGACAACCTTCTCTACCATCAACTGAGCGCACGCAGGTTTTTGCCACGACGATCTTCAACCCCATAGGAGGAGGAGGAGGAGACGCTCCATTCTCTCACTATTGCAACGGCTAGCTGTACCTCTTTCTTCCAAAATCAATTACAACATGGACGAATCCGCTCGGCAAGTGAATGCGAGGATGCTGAAAGGTGGTCTTGTGGTGGAGCGCTCGAGGCGGTCGCTTTGCTTGGAGGACCGAAGTCTCATCAGTCCGACGTTGTGGGCGATCTTTACGGATAACAGAGTGCAAAGTATCCAGGTGCGTGCCCCAAAGATACTTTGGTTGACGTGCGCCAGGAAGTGCTATTTCGACTGCCTTGTTTGTGGAAGCGCATCGGCGGGCAGGCCCATCGTCGCACCACATCTATACTACGAGCCCCATAGATTGGATTCTACAGATGGGACGCGACAAAGCGGTGACGTGAGGTTTGCAAGACAGGCACGCGGTGTACCTTGTGGCTGTGTGGTACCGATCCATCACTACCGCGCAACTGACGTGGATGCGCCCACTTGTGATATTACTACGACTGCAGCACATTTAACGTCACAGCGCGCTGTACCTCATAGATTACAGCGAACAGAAGGAGCTCCATGGCGTTGCCGATCATAGCAAAACGACTCTGCCGCTCCACGGCAGATCCACCACGCTCCTGTGTCAAGAAGCTCGCGCAGGAGAGACGCTGGACGCACCCCCGCGCAGTGTCCTTTCTTCGGGCGAGTGCGACACATACCTCGCGCAAGACGTTGCAGACGGGCTGTGTACGCGCGGCAGCCTCATTGCGTATACATCGTCGATCGTCGCCCACGTGGGTTCTGGGTGGCGCTCGCTTTTTTTCGCGCACAAGACTTGTACGCAACGCAAGTCGCGGGGGCTTTTCTTGACTGGACCAGGCCAGCGGAAATAGAGCCGACATGAGTCATGGGTGCACCGGTGGTACGCGGTTCGACCCACGCACTAGTCGAAAGGCCCATCCGACGCGAGTCCATCCATCTAGTAGGCGAGGGTCTGAATGTATGTACTCTCGATGAAGGGGAGGAACTACTCGTCCAGAGCCCAAACCACGACGCGTTCACCAGAGATATGCGTTGAAGACGACGGCATCGGGAGCCCACAAGCGACGAAATCAAGGCGCAATCGCCAGCTACAAACGCCGCATCGACGAGCAAGAGACTAGAATTGCGTCTGATTTTGGGCAACAATACGTATCCAATGGCATTTGTGAGACCGTAGCCATGCCTCAGGCTTACCTTATCTGAACAATAGTCTTAGTTGAATTTAACGTTGTGGCGAGACGACTCGCACGACATTAAAGATGCACGTTGAGCTTCAACCACAAACAACAAAGCACGCGAGGCAAAGTGGGAGCTGTCTTGAACGTTTGTCAACGAATCGAGGACAGCGAAATGGAACGAACGACCCGCGTGTCGTTCGTACGCAGTCAATCGACCCGATAGACGAGCCACGCTGTTCGCAAAGTCTGTGTATGAAGAACAAGCCTTGCATTGCAATAGAAAGCACGTGTAGGAGCAGAACTTGTACGTTTGACAGTTGTGCCCCAGTGGTTGTGCCCCCGTTGTTGTTGAACTGAGTTATATTACATGCAATTAATATACGAAGTCACCGTAGCGTGGAAGGACGTGAGCTGGCTGCCGTAGAGGTACAAATGAGGCCGCTCGGCCCGGGTGCTCGTAGAAGGTCGCTGGGACGCCAAGGTGTTGCACTGGAAGCACACGCCAGTCAAAGTCAGTAGTCCGTTGGCTTGTTGTAAATGACAGGAACGTCTATGCGCATGGGAACACCACCCTCGCGAGTTCAACCAAGCCACCGAGCATTTGTCCAAGCTCGCGCCCAACGACCGTACCTCAAACAGCGTGTTTTTACTTATTTCAAAGATTTCAAAGGGCGATGGTGCGCTATCTTGCGTGCATTCACTAACGCGGTACCAACAAGCGGGACTGCCGATGGTGGTGATCCCTCATAAGCAGCTTCAAGAAGCGCTGGTGCGATCGATCACGACCAAATGTGTTGCTAGGACTCTTCCTGGGACTCTCCAAGAATCCCTACCAGATGGGTAAAAAAGCACTCCGACGCAATTGAACCTTCCTCGCCGTTTCTAGCATTCGTGTCAAGCACAAGCAGTCTCTGCCGTATGGAGTCTGGTCCAACAGAGACAGGAAACATCAAATGAACGTGGCAGACGTCGCTCAGCACTACTACGCATCCTTTTCGCTCGACCGACGCCTCCACTACCGGTACCGCTTCAAAAACAACCAATCACAGATGCGAAACCGTCATTTCAGCCAATCAGCGCGCGAAACGGCCGACCTGCCCACAATTCAACCTGCGCTCATGAACGCTGTCGTCGGATCGCGCGACCTCTGGAGCATCATTGCCGCCTTCCAAGACGGCGTCTACGAAGACGCACGCCCCTTCATCGCCATCGAGGACTCTCTCTTGGCCCTCGACATTGCATCGGCCCTCGACGTGCTGACGCCCGTGCTCGAGCACTGGTATGCAACGGTCTCGATCGACATCGCTCGTCGCCGATGGCCTTACTTTAATGCGCGCTTGCCGTGGCTCTCGTCGTACGCAGCGTACCACGCGGCCAAAGTCGGCAAGGTCGACCGCCTCGCCGCGCTCCCGGCGTTGCGCTCGGTTGACTCGCCCGAGGTCGTCGTCGAGCTCGCGATCGAACACCACCAGCTGCACGTGCTGGCGTTTCTCCATACAACGTTCGGCGCAGTAGCGCCGTGGTTTACAAAGGACACGCTCACGATCGCAGCCGCCGCGGGCAGCTTGCCGGTCGTCCGATACATTTGTAACAGCGTCGCCTGCGGCGGTACGTTCGACGCCTTGGACCTCGCGGCTTCGTTTGGCCACTGGAACGTGGTTGTCTACTTGCACACGCACGCGCAGTTTGGCGCGACGACAGCTGCCATGGACGAAGCGGCGGCCAAGGGCACATTCACATTGTGCGCTTCCTCAATGAGAGCCGCACCGAGGGCTGCACGACGGACGCAATGGATGGCGCTGCGGCCAACGGCCATTTGGACGTTCTGACGTATCTGCACCAACACACGTCGGTCGGGTGCACGGTACACGCGATGGACAGCGCCGCGACCAATGGCCACATGGACGTCGTGTCCTTCTTGCATCGAATGCGACGCGAAGGGTGTTCGACACGTGCGCTCGACGGTGCGATCGTGCACGGCCATGACGCAGTTGCGCACTTCTTGATCAAGTGCCGACGAGAAGGGTGTGGGCCGAAAGCCCTCGCGTCCGCGGCCCTTCGACGCGACCCCACGATGCTCAAGGCGCTCTTGGCGCAGCAGCAGCGCCGCGCAAAGGCAAGCAAAAACCGCTTCAACGTGGCGACGCACCTGATGCGCTGGCTCGTGCCGGATTTCTTCCAGAAGCGAACGGTAGCCCCGCCATCATGACATCCGACACCACTCCAAGCCCTGACAGTTGAGCCAAGCGTATTGCCCAAATCTACAGTATTCCACTCGAATTACATTACCTATCTAGTCCAAAACGACGTTGTGAGGCCAAATCGATCCATCTCTTTTCAAGCTCGAGATCTATGTACTACACTTGCTGTGGATGCGTGACGTGGCATCCGCACCAGCCGACATTCCAAAATGATCACGGATTGGTCAAAATAATACCAAAAATACACCAATCGGCCACCGGCGAGGCTGCCAAACGGCAAGAATCACTGGTGCCCACCACGATGCTGCCGCTCTACCGTCGCGTGCTGGTCCGCGCGTGCTCGACGCTACCACCTGCGCCCGAGGTCCTTGCGCCCAAGAACTATGGCGACTTCAACACGCTCGCTGCGGTATACTTCTTGTCTTATCCGATGGCTTACAATTGTCATGTAGGAGCTGCGCGCGATCGCCAAGGCGCAGGCCAAGAAGCGCGTCGAGATGCCTGACACGCTGCTGCTCAAGAGTCTCGAGCGCAACGATCTCATCCACGCCATTCGAAAGAAGCACGGTGGGTTCGTCGCCGTGGCTCAAAAGCTGAGCTTGCCCATTGTGACCAACGCTACGGGCACCGAGGTGCATAAAAAGCTGGCGGTGCGCCAAAAGCGACGACGCGCGCGGCTCATCGACCTCAAGAAACACAACGTATTTTAAGCCAATAAGACTATCTCGCCGCCTTTCTTCTTCTCTGTCCTTTTCAAGCGGCTTGCAAACGTCACACCCAGCGCATCCGTTCAAGTGGCCAGAACATCAAGATGGGCACGTGATGATCCACGTTGGCATATTGAAATGATGCGATGGAAAGTATCAAGAAGTATCAAGTCATAACACGACCACAAATGATGTCGATCCAAGTCGAGACTGGCGCGTTCTTAGGTTTGCTAGAATCCAGCAAGCCAGCCGACACAGGACGCCGCCGCGAAATACGTTGCATCAAGTCATTTTCTGCGTGCCTCGTGGAGGTGTCGTCGCCTCTCCAGCCTCCAAGATGCCCTCACACCTTGGTAATGGCTTTGCGAAGTCACCGAGCTAGCCGTCACAGTTTGGGTCGTGAGCTCGGACCATTGAAAGCACTGTACGTGGCGGGATGCATTGGCCCCACACGACGGCTCGTCCGCCTTGCTGATAAACTCTACGTGTCTATCAATTATGGTCTGGACGGCCACAGCTGTTGCCATGCTCGCACTCAGCATCCTAGACAATGCAGAATCACAAGCACGAGGAGGAACTTCCAACGGACGCAGCAAACGCAAAATCAAAGTAGGGTCATTCCACATAAAAACGAGACTCATTGCACGGGGCACTGCTCGTCGTCCTTCTCATCTGCCTCTGTCTTGAGGGGCTCGTTGAAGGGCAGCGAGAGGGTGCTCGCAATCGACTCGGTGTCGTCGAGCTCCGAGGGCGGCGCGGCATTCTACAAGCGTTCGATATGACATCCGCTTTGTTGATTTCGACGATAGTTTACGGCGGGCGACTGGCACGGACATGAAAAGCTGTTGGCGACGCCGGCAAAGTAGCAGTGGTTGCACACTACGTAGCGTTGTCGGTATAGACATAGGGGAACGATGGCAGACCGTGGCAGTGCTGGCTACGGTGGGACCCGCACCGCTTGCAAATTTCGCAATGCTTGCGCGGCTGCTTGCTGGACCAGACCTTGTTGGTGCACCACGAGTAGTGGAACGTCGCGTCGCACGCTGTGCACGAGACTGGGAACGCGTACGTGCCGTCGGACTTGAGCTCGGGCTGCAGCAGCGTCTCGTAGACGTGGCAGGTCTAGGTGCCACTAAGCCGCCTTCCCAAAACGGAAGAAGAGAGAGCGATCGTACGCGATGGGATCCGCAGCTGCAGTCAATCTCGACGGGGCCCATGAGAATGTCTTCCATGCTTCGAATCTTGCTCAGGTTTTGCATGAGGCACTTGTCATGGATCATCTTTTCAATCTGGATGCCTTTCTATCAAGGTATCAAGAAAGTGTCAGCGACACAAACAACAAGTCGATCGACTACCTTCTGCATGGGCACGAACGGGTTGGAGCACTCTTGGCACTTGCACTCGACACCACAGACCCGACCCGCCTTGACACACGCGCACCGGGCATTCCGGCACTTGCCCGTGCAGCGGCACCGCACGTCCTCGGGCGCCTTCATCGTCGACGCCACCGACTTGGTGTCGTCCACATCGATGGACTTCTTGACCTCGACCTTGACGTCGACGGCGTCGGCAGGCGGCTTCTTGGACGGTCGTCGTGCGACGACGGGACCCGCGGCTTCAAACTGCTCAAATTCGGGCGAGACAAGCATGCGGCGCTTGCCTGCGTCCAGCGAGTACGGGTGCGCGGGCGGTATGACGTCGGGCATGGGAAGTGGCTGCTGCTCTGCGTTCGTCTGTTGTTGGAAGCGGTTGAGCGGCCACATGGACATGGCCGTCGTCTTGAGCATCTTGGGGAGCGACGACGGGTCTTGCAGGGTCATCGACATCAAGGACGCTGCGGTCGCGGACGCGGCCGACGCCATGCTGATGGGCATCGAGGTGGTGGGCGGGATCATATCAGGATGCAGCCGGCTCTGCGGGATCTCCTTCCACTGCGTCGGCGCATCCTCATCGATGGCTGCCTCGTTGAGCACCTTCCAGTCGATGCCGCCGCCACGGAACTCGGTCTCGCGCGGGCTCGGCATCGTGTCTATGCTGATCATGAGGCATGGTCACGGACGAGGCACGCCCTACATGGCGAGAAGAGGTGGAGCAGTGCATCTTGCTCGGACTGCGAGTGGGCCGAGAGCGTGCCCGAGCCAAGCGACTGCTGCAGCCACGCGAGCGTTGACGGCGACATGGTCACGGACGGCGACGCCGTGTTGAGCTGCGGGTCGAGGATAAAGGACGAGAACGCGCTGTCGAGCTCATGCACTTGGTTGGGCCAGGACATGAGGTCGGCCTCCGTCGTCTTCTCCTCATCGGGGTCGAGGAAGTCGTCGAGGAGCGTGCTATGATGGTGCTCCGCCATCGTCGTCGCTTCTTCAAGCTTGTCGGTCGGTCTTATCCGGAGTTGAGTTTTTGGATCCATGGCCTGCCCCAAATAAAAATACACGTTCTACACTTATTGTTTGTATGCGGGAATGAAATTACAAGAAAAAATACACCAAGGATGACGAAACACCAGCATTCGCCGTCATAATTGTGGCGCATGCCACCTTTAAAGCCAATCCTTCGACATTTAGCTGCGACCAGGTTCAACAAGCGGCAACGAAGCAGCTACGACGGTACCGCCATCCAACGTCATACGAAGAGTCCCATCATATCACAGTAGGATCACGTGCCACGTGTGATCATGCAGTCTTGAGTGATCGACAAACCTATACACTTCCGTACTAGTATGTTTGTAATCTACTCTAGCATATCAGAGAAAGAAGACCACGAGCCATGTTGCCAGCACGACCATGTGCAGCCACTGCAGAACGTCGTACATGGATGACGCTCCGTTGAGGAGACTCGGTGTGCACACAGGCAGCGCTTGCGTGCCATCGCTCGTAAAGGCATTGGTTCGGAACGGCGATCCGGGAAATGGAAACCGGTAGTACTGCAGCTCCCCCGCTACACCGGACGCAGGTGAGTCTCCTTGCATCAGTACGACCACGTGAAAGGACCAACATTGTTGGCGTACGTGCTGATCTCGGGCTCGTAGCCGTTGACGTACGCGGGGTCGCCGCATCGCCAGAGGTCTTTGGCTTGCTACAGTGCGCGCGTCAAACAAGCGACAGACAATACGTAGCGACGTCGGCATACCATGCACGCTTTAAAGTAGTTCTCGCAGACGCTGCGGCACATGATGAGACTCACGCCTGCGTCGTCGCAGCGAGGAAAGTTGAGCCAGCACATATAGTTGCGAAAGGCATCTTGGCAGTCGCGGTTCTCCTACGCCCATCGTTCCGCCTCCCATGCACAGTCGACTCGAGTCGCACCGTGAAGCGGGGGACGATCTCGCCGGCGTTGCCCCACTCGTCGCGCTCTGCACACCGTAAAATCATTTCCGCGATCCCAAGCAAGAACGTACGCGCGTCGTTGAGGTCCACATCTTGTTCAAAATACTCGCGCTGCATCACGAGCTTTCGGTACATTTGCGAGAGGAAGAGGTCCTTGGACTTGACCGAGTGGTTGTACCAGATCGTCTGCGCCTCGGGGACACACGCTGTGTACTGAAGGAGTGGCCCGCAAAATGGCATGTACTGGAGAAACACACTCGGTGCTTGGCACTCGCCTGTGTTGGAGCCCATGATGCGGCAGGCCATGAGGCCACGCAGGGCCGCGAGCCAGACGAGCGACCCGCGCATCCCTTCAAGATCTTATTTCCAAGCGCATCAGATTGGTCAAAAGGCCTCTCTGTATGGACGGTGATTGGCTGTACGTGGTGGGTCGCTGCCATTTTGGCCAATCGATGACTGATCGTGACACTGGTCGGTCGCTGGCGTTGGACGATACTAGTTCGTGACTGCTTCAGAACAAGCCGAGGTTCATGGACCGCATAGAAGAGGCGCGTAGCGGACGGACGTTTTCGCTCGTGCAGAAACAAGCGCATTGAAAATGCTTAAAAACGTGTGTGATTGGCTGAAAATGGAGTCCAAGTCGTCGCTGATTGGTGGGATCGTGGCATAAAACAAGCCGTGGGGGGCGATCTCTCTCAACTGACTATGCATCGCCCGCGATTTAGCCGCATCATGCACCCAAGCACCACTGCAAGGGCCACGCATCGATTGCGAGCTCAACGTAATGCATCTCGATGCGATTCGCGTTGATAAAGATAAGCTTAGATTTCAAAATATTAGAGATTGGAAACGAGGGGCTATACATACATGCACCATACAATTGAGAAATTCGTGGGTTGGTTGTGTGTTGGGGAGACTGTGGCGGAGGGCTTGTTTGACTACATAGTCGTGTCGACGTCGCACGGCACAACGCGCGCCATGCACTGGTTCGAGATGATGGTTTTGAGCCGGTCACGGATCGTGTCTTCGTTCAACACGGTCTCGTCCGAGCAAAGCTGGAACAAGCGGTGCTCCATCTTGTACGCGAGCTTCGGGACTTTGTCAGTGATCGTCGTGACGTGGAGCGACGTACACGAAGCGCTGTCATTGAGCAGCTTGGTGATGATCATGAGGTGGCGGCGGCGCACGGCGGACAAACCCGCTTTCAATGGACCACTCGCCACCATGTCTGCTCCACGACGCCACAAAACAAAAGTGTGGTGTGTTGCCGACATGGACGCAGCAGCGAGCGCGTTTTCATATCTCATATCTTTGTCTTCAGCGTGTCTCTGTGGATCCGACTTGGCCGTTCGAAACAGTGGCACCTTCTCGTATACGAAATGCACCGGCTTCTTTTTTGAACGGCCGCCTTGGCTGAAGTCGTTGTGCTATGGATCCCCACACCGCGTAAAACAATATAAATTTAGTAACTAATAGCTGGCAGTGTACGATGCGGTTTTGTATGGATGTTGCAACACACAGGCACGACGCGTCCCGCACGTTCACGTGTCACCATTTACTGCATCGGCTCCGTCGCAACGCGCTTCAACGGAATCTTGCGCGGCCAGAGTGCGATGTGCTGGCTCAGACCGCACCCGTTTTCTGGTTCGTGGCTTCGATATCTGGCGCCAGCGTGGACTCGGCTCGGCTCCGTCGGACGCTCCAGCACTACGTAGGTTCTTTGGCACTGCGACGCCCATCCAGTACCTGCATCCACGCGTCGATACGAAGCGGAGTCGCTCCATCAACCGGCTACAATATACTAGTACTAGTAGGAAGACTTGTATGGGTCGCTGTGGGGAAGCCTAGCGCAATGGCCACAACACAAAAACGCGGCGTTTCACAACCCTACCCCTTACATTTGAAATGCAATCCGAGAAAGGGACCAATCAGCGCTCGCCTCTGCGACTGGATCCAACGTTTGATTCATGATCATGCAGTACCTTGCAGCTGCGCGCGATCAAGGCTGCTACTACCTCGCAGTTGCACGCATTTGCACGAGGGCGACGAGGGCGAGAAGGCCAATATGACCATGCGTGTCGATGCCGCAAAGGGGCTGCGTGGTTATGCCTCATGGGTACGCAGCGAAGTCTGGTTCGGACACCAGCAGTGTGAGTGCCTGGTCGCACCAGACCGACGCACGGGCGTCACGCTCCACCAACAATCAGCTCAACGAAAGCAACGTCGTCCATTGCAGCACTAGGTTCGACTAGGAAAAGGGCGTAAACTCGAGGTTGCGCATGGTCTGGAGCATCGCTTTGGCCTCGTCCCGCTCCTACAGCCATAGTTTAGTCCGTGCTACAAAGTATACTATTCTGTACTGGTCCTTGGCGGTCGAGCAGCCGATTGCACCACTCGGTGGCCGTCGTGTAAAGCCCTTTCTCTTTAAAGTACTGCGCGAGGAAGAGGACGGCGCTCGCGGCTTCGGGCGAGTCGACTTGGGCGACGCCGCGGTCGCGCCAATATCTACCTCGCACCAATGAGACACACTCGTGTGCACATGTTGTCCTAGTTTGTACAATTGGTAAAACTCGGCCGCCTTTTCCGCGTTGTTTTCCTTCTGAAAGAGTCGGCCGAGGCGGTAGACCGCAATGCATTCGGCGTCTTTGTTGCCGATCGCGCTACATGTTTGGATAGTACATGAATCCATGCCGTTGGATAGTTGGATAGTTGGATAGTCGCACCGTTGGTAGCACATTTTTGCATGGCCGGGTTGCGGCGTCGGGAGCTTCTCGTAGCAGCCACCCAGCGCACACCACATGCGAGCATCGTACGGGCGGATGGCGGCGGCTTTCTGGTAGTAGTACACGCTGTAGTGGATCAGCTCGAGGATCTCGTACGCTTGGCCGAGCCCATACCTAATGCGATCCATCAATATCTAAAATGCAAGAAAAGACTCCAAGTTGCAGAACATGGCATCATACCATGCGCGGTAATCTTTGGCGTTGATATCAATCGCGCGACGGTAGACTTCAATGGCGGCGGCCGTGTTGCGCAGCTCAATGTACTCGTGCCTAGTCGCTTCTTGAGCAACGACCGTAGTGAATCATAATGTCTACCCGATGAGCGTCCACGCAGACAAGCACTGCGGGTCCAGCGTCAGCGCCCGCGTGAAATACAATATCGCGCGCTCGTGCTGGCCTGCATGAGGAGGAGGTATACTGTCATTGTCCCTCCGTTTGATATACCTTTGAGCGAATAGTAGTTGCCGATGACGCAGCAGGTCTCGGGACGGTACTTGTCGACGTGCTGCAGGTGCTGGGCCAACGAACTCAAACCCGACTTGTCTTCCTACGCATACTACGTCTCACTCGATTTCGCCATTGTCCTAGCGTTACCTTGACGTACAAGACGTTCGAGTAGAGATCCATTTGATCGACGCGGTATGGGTCGGCCTTGGTCAGCGCAGCAAACGACTCGTGGGCCTGGTCGAAATCTAGTCGCAGGTTCCACACGACTCGAATTTCGAGGACCAGGAGACCTTGCAAATGGTACTGAGCGGCTGCCGTTTGGGCGAGGAGGTACTGACACGTTGGAAATTGCTTGCGCAGCGGCAATAAAACCTACATAGATCCATTTCTACATCGAAAAGCGTTGTAAAGTCGCGTCCACACATCCAAGGCCTGGGACCCATGGTTTTGTTCCAAGAGCACATGCACTTGGAAGAGGTCGACCATCCACGGGCACGTCGTCGAGAGCTCGTGGACATCCTACGCAGTCGAATGAGCGCATCGAAAGACGATCCGTCGCACGCACAAAGGGCGACGTGGTGTCGAGCTGCACGGCTTGCGCCAGCTCAAGCCAAGCCGACCAGTTCCACGGAAACCATTGCAGCGACCGCCAAAGCAATCGCTGGACGTGGTCACTCCTACGATATCACGACGAGTTAGTCGCATTGCGTGCCGTCAACGCCATATACGCAGCGCCGGGTGCCGAGCCGGCGATCTGCTTGACCACAATCGCGTAGAGGTACAAGCCAAACGCGTCGAGCTGGCCGTTCTCGTCGGCCGTCGAGAGGTCCTCTTGAAGCTGTCGCAGGTACGGGTTGACGGGCTTGGGCGGGCTCGGCGCCGTGAGCTTGGTCGGCTCGGCGACGACCTTCATCTCGGTGCTCATGGCTTCCTTGCGCCGCTCGCCTGCCTAGCGCATGGTGATCAATGTGTGTTGCGAAAGTGGCCGAGTACCAAGTAACGAGCGTAATGCAAGAGGAAGAATTCGACGCCCGACAACGCGCCGTGCTTCGCGTCGAGGACATGCGCTGCGCGGGCATACTCGGACACATCAAAGTACGAGCGCGCGAGCTCGAGAACACCATCCATGCCGCGGATGGCCTACGACATGATGCATGAATGGCAGCAGGTGCATGAGGTTGACGCGCACCTCGCGCGCCGGCGGCGACGCATGGACGCGCTCGTGCAGCACGCTCGGAAGGCCAGCGTAGAGCTCGCAGGCAAAGGTCGCAGCGTGCTTGAGGCCGCGCACCGAGAGGGCGTCGCGGGCAGCGGCCAGGGCCGACGCAAGACCAACGTTGTCCATCCCAGCGGTAAATCTTTGTTTAACCGGACGTCCGGATATAGACACGCACTGTTTTGCAAAACACTGTCAAGACACTAGAGCTCTTTCGAAGCCCAGTTGAGTTGAATCTGAGTCTCGGCGGCCGATTTTCAAGCGATCTGATTGGCTGTTGTAAAAAAATCGATTTTTTTCCAAACTCAACGCCGTCCCGAGTTACCACAAGTGCCCTGTTGTCTCAACGGCGTCGAGCGAGTTGAGAGAGTCTCTGATTGGTCCGATTCGTCGGGTCCCTCGCGTACGGATAGAGGTGCAGTCGGTGGCGCTCGACGAGCGACGGCGCGAGCGCTGCACGGCTTATCGCTCCATGGCGCTGCTTGTCTTAGCGCTCTCAGTTGAGGTGACCATAGGGCTCATGGCGCTCCTCGCGCGCCGCTTAATACTCTGCTTCGATAGGATTCTAGCACGCTCATGCGCCTCTGCATTGCGGACTCCCGCTCCGCGCTTGTCCATCCCCAGACATCACGCTCCAACCAATCCATCCTCCTCCATCTAGCAGTATCGCTTCACCATGCAGTTCATGGACTAGCCGTTCCTCCCGCGGTCTCTCCTCAAACCTGGCCTCGTCGTCGACGTCTTGCTAGTGCAGCGCGGGATCGTGTGCGGCGGGATCGACTTGCGCAGGCTTGGCAGGGGCGGCCTGGACAAGCGCGGCCTGGACAAGCGCGGGCTTCTTGAGCAGCAGCTGCTTGAGAAGCACCTTGTACGGCTGCTTGCGCGACGATGCTACAGGTCGGCGCGGCGCGGGCAGCGACTAATCTAGCTCCAGGACGTCAGCAGGCGACTGCCGCGGCCCACCTGTCGTTGGCAGCGCCCGTCGAGAAATGCGAGCATGCTGTATTTTATTTTTATTTCCGGATAGCGCTGCCATCCGATCGCCACTGTGTAAACTCAAGTCGCCAGGTCTTCGAAATGCCCAGATATTTTACTGTTGAGTTTCGACCCGTGCGACACAATCTGAGACTCAGATTCAACTCAACTGGGTTTTCGAAAGAGCTCTACTGTCTTGGCCACCTTGGATGCCAACCTGTGATTGCTTCTTCCAGCACAAGACTACATCCTCGCGTGATGATGGCGTGCATGTCTAGCAGCAAGAGGACTCTGGCCAGCCATCGCCACTGCAACCGCCACTCGATCGACGACGTCGTGTCTGGGTTGCGGTAGGTAGCGGTGCGCATCACGCTCGCCTTCGAACAGAAAAACACCAAATGGATCGTCCCCTGGACTCTGTCGCTGCGCAAAGCAGGGTATTGTACTACACTATGTTTACTGGCGCATCTCTGTCACAGGGGGAGGCCTCTCGGGTGTTGCTAGTGTTATTGCTTGTGGTGCCTTACCGCATAGCATCGTTTGGCCAATTTCCCTTCTTAACACCGTTGCCAACGCCATTGGGAAAGAGACGAACGGGAGAAGGTCGACGGGTCTCGAACCCCATACCTCCTGCATGTGAAGTAGGAATCCACCGACTGGACAAAAGGAGGTCGACTCGGAGCCAGCTGCATTGTGGCAATCCTCACAGAGCTGTGGTGCTCGTTGAGCTCGCACTAGTCGCCATGTGCTTCTTTCTGAAGCTGTGGCGATGTCTCCAACGACCGGCGGCGCGTTCTCGTATGCGCCTCGTACCATTGTCACATCAACGCATACAACGTCGAGTTCGCGCGAAACGTCAAATATCATTTCGCATCCAATGCCACCCCATGCGGTAAGGTCATCATTGAGACGCTTAGAAGCGCTTACCGGTACAGTGTAATATGTGCACGAGCGACCTCCCGACAAGTCTGGCTGTAGCGGAGGTAACCCTTAATCATCCAGTCTCGCAACGTGCTAGATTCGATCTCGCCCCCACTGCGTTCAACGGCCAAGCCAATACACGCTTGGATCCATACTCGCTCACGGTCTACAAAGGTGCGTCGACATACACAGATACATCCACGCAGGATTTTGCGTCACTGATAAATCCAGAGTCTTCTTGGCGGCGACATCGATACGCAGACACAGATCAAGTAGTACGTCGATCGTGGCACGTCATTGCGTGCACCGCTGCGGATCAGTGCAGGAAGCCCGGCAGGAGAATCGCAGTTTCCACCAAACAAGCATTACGCGCGCGTTCGCTGCTTCTCTGCCCACAAGAAGCCGTGTCGATGACCATATCCGATGACATCCTTTCCTTGCGTCACTCGCCCTCTTGACAAGGCTCGTCACTCGGTGCATCTCGCAATGTTGGCGTTGGTTGTTGTTTCACGTGCTGCGTCGAGGTCGCAAGCGCTCAATTCGTCGGCGTTCGCACCTACCAGCCGCCAGCAGCACTACATACCGTGTGTGCAGCTCGAACACAGGATCTCATGCCGTGTTACACTTCAATCCCAAGCAGTCGACTGCAACGTGGTGTATCGAAGCTGTCATGGCCTTTTTTCATGGGTTCATGGCTTTATGGGCGCCGCCGGTTCGAGGCCCGTCCCGACACGTTTATTCTTTTACGATCCTCCGACAAGTCAGTGTGCTCGCATGACGACGTGTAAAGGTTCTCGTTGGAAGCGACGCGTTTAACGTGGGCCGATGTCGGTGCCCGTTTTATCCGGACAAATGTCCGGTTGGCGATTTAGGATTGCATTCCAAGCTCACAAAGACACCGTCCTCGAAGCGCACAGACTTGAAGCATGGTGGCAACGAACCCGGTCCTGCGCGCGCTCTGGATGCCCGAGGTCCTCCGCAGCATCGTCGCCTTCCAAGATGGCACGCCCGAAGAGTTCGTGCCCTTTGTCGTCGCGTACGACAACAGCTCGCGCTGCCTCCGGTACGACGACCGCCCCGCCTTCTCGCTGCTGCTTGCGACATCGGGCGTCCGTGGCTTGCGCTGGGTCCACCGCCACCGCGCCGACTACATCTCGAACGAGGTGCCCGAGTACGTGGCAGCCTCGGGCAATGTCGACGCGCTGCGCTACGTGCACGACGAGGCGGCAATGCCTCTCACCGACCTCGTGCTGGCCGCTGCCGCCGAACAGGGCCACGTGGCCATGCTATGCGCGATCCTCGACCTCTGCGCCGAGTTGGACTGTACAAAGGCGCTCAATCTCGCCGCCGAGAATGGCCACGGGCCCGTCGTCGCGTACCTCGTCGACACGGTCGGCGTCCGCGGCTCGGCGTACGCCTTGGAACGCGCGGCGCGCCATGGCCACATGGAGATTGTGCGCAAGCTCTTGTCGGCCAAAGGCATCATCCAGCCGCGCGACTGCAAGACCGCAATGGAGTACGCTTGGCGCTTCCACCACACACATGTCATGGACCTTCTGCACGAGTGTGCATTGGTCCCGTACCCGCCGCGGACAAGCAGTACCGACGTGGCGCTCCCGATCGCTGCGGCCGCGGTCATCGGCGTCCTCGCCTGGTTCTGCGTGTAGAAAGATGACTAGATAAATATTTACGCCAACACGATTAATCTAACTACGCTCACGTGTCCGGGTCGTGAAGACTGCTTGTTCGCCTCGGTCTGTACTGTACGCGAGGGTGCACGGTTGGCAAGAAGCCTCGCAACCTCGTCCCTGGAACGAATCCTTGCTTGATGGAAGGGACATACCACTCCAGAAGATAGAGGTGAAGTACAAGCAATTACACACATGTGCCCATAGAGTGATGCGTAGTACAACGACGCGGCTGCCAACCCCAGGGACGTGCTTGCATTCGGTCTCGAATATTAGTCGATTAGCTATTGTTATTAAAAGCCCAAGAGATTGTCGGGGCTCGAGGTGGCTGTCGTCGCTGGCGCGTTGCCAGTAGGCGCCGCGTCCGCACCACCCAATTGCTTCTTGATGGACGGCGTCGGGGCCAGCGCCGCGTTCGAGTTGGCGTACGTTCCAACGTTGAGGGATGCCCGCTGGGCTTCCTGCGTCTGACGCTTGGAGCCTCGGAGGCGGTCGGCAAGCGCACTGTTCTTCGGGGTCGACGAGCTCGTCGAGATGTTGCCCGACGACGTCGACGGCGCCGCATCACCAAAGATCGAGAGGTTGACACCTGCAGACGCCGGGGCCGGCGGTGCGCCGCTGCCGCCGAACGGATCAAAGGCCCCGGCCGGCGCTTGCGAGTTCGAGGACGTCCCACTCGACGTGCGGGAGCTCGGTTTGTCGCCGCCGCCGAAACAGCTGAACATGTCACCGCCGCCGTCACCTCCCGTGGGTGTGCTGGGCGGTGCCTTCTTCTCGAGAAGGTTCTTGATGTTGTCGTACATAACGGGCTGCGCGCCGGGCGGGCCTTGCGGAGGCATGCCCATACCATTCGGCGCCATGTTCATCATGCCCGGCATCGCGTTCATACCGCCCATGTTCATGTTGCCCATGGGGGGCATGGCGTGCATCCCTGGCATCGTACCGGCCATGTGCATCCCCGACGAGCCATTGCTGCCAAAGTTTGTCGGCGGCATTCCGCCCATGGTCATGCCCATGTTCATGTTCATGCCGCCCATCGACGGCATCGCGTGCATACCGGGCATACCGCCCATGTTGATCGACGAGCCGCCGTTGCTGCCGTAGTTGGATGTGGGCATGCCACCCATCATCGTGTTGCTGTTGTTCACGCCTCGGCCGTTGCTGCCAAAGTTGGACGAGGGCATACCGCCCATATTGGCTTGCGGCGGCGGCGCACCGTACGGCGGGTAGCTCGGCGTCGTCGGCTTGCTGCCTTTGCCGCCAAGAGGATCGAGGCCCGCGAAGACGTCCATGTTGCTCTTGTTCGCTTCTTGCTGGAAATTCGGAAATGCATAATTGCATGCAATATGGTGCTGTCTAAAAATAGCTATTTATCCGGCGCCATATCTTTCGTATCCGGATTACCGGCCGCTTCAACGCCCGCCATCTTGCCTACCGTTTCCACGGACTTCTCACATCTTGGTCCTATCCCTCCAGCCCTTGATGGACCAAGACGTCTGACCGCATGACATTCGCTGACGGGAAGAGCTGCTCTTCCAAGGCGACCTCACTTCCCTCTTGATGCATCTGCAAGATGATACCACTAAATATCGTTGCATTGGCTTTGGTGCCTCCATGGCTTGCCACTAGGTGCTTGCATCATCGAAGGTGCGCGAGCCTGCATGAAATCAGTAGAGCCGCTGACCCCCGATGCCTGCCGTCGGAGGAGGTTAATCTGGTCATGACAGCCTTTGAGAGCTCCGAGACCGCTCTCTTCGATTCGATCGTGTGCTTCTTATGGCTGCAAGTATATACATGCTACATACCTGCACTGCTGCTGCTCGATAGCGTCGTATGGTGCGCCTAGCCCCACTCTTGGTACAAAGCTCGCCGGTTTATCCGTGCTAGGTAGTCATTCTTGGTATCCGTAAATCATCTCGTGTATCCGGTATTCGTGGCAGAAGTCCTACAAGTTGTGGGTATACAAAAAGCAAGTGATTTTGTGGAACTCAATTTCACACCCCGGCCACCGCTCAATCCGATGGACTTGCTGGCCGCGTACGCAGCGTCAAGCGACGAGGAAGAGGTCGCGCGGCCGAGCGTGAGCATCAACTCGGCGCCCGACGTCCTCCTGCCGCTGGCCACGTCCATGGCGCTGGCGCCGAACGCCAAGACGCTGGCGCTGAACCAGCCCATTGGCACGTCGATGGCGCCGGTCCTCGGGCCCAAGAACCCGTACATGCGCCACAACCCATTGCAGGTCGGCGCCGGCAAGGAAATCGTGACGGGCGTCGTCGAGGCGACGGCCATGGAGGACTTTTGCTTTGACGAAGTCTACCACGCGCAGCAGTTCCGCCAAGCGACGACCGACCCGCTCTACAAGAAGGCGCCGAAGCGCAAGGTCGACCCGAACTTTGTCAAGGACGTTGGGTCCGAGGCCGACCACGGCGTCTGGGCGCCGCAAAAGACAAGAGCACGTTCTGGGTCCCGTCCGACGTCGAGGCAGGCACGGTCTCGGACGCGCAGAAGGCGCTCATCGCCGAGAACGAAGCCAAGCGTGCGAAGCGCGTCACCGACGACGACGACGAGGTCGACTTTGACCGTATGATTGAGCGCAAGGTCGCGCATCTGCTGCCGCCGCGCCTCCAGCCTGGCCAGAAGGCCGTCGAGCCCAAGTACGCGCCCTTCCTCGATACCTATTGATGGCTCATGGTACGCGATTAGGACGGCGTATCTGGACCGCGAAGAGTACGACTACCAAGGCCGGTCGTGGCTCGAGCACCCGCGCGAACTCAAGGCCGACGACGGCCAGCACGATGTCTTTCTTCCGAAGAAGGCGATCCACCAGTGGGAAGGTCACACGAAGGGCGTCCAAGCGATCGAGCTCTTCCCCAAGTACGGTCATCTGCTGCTCAGTGGCAGTCTCGACTCGACGGTGCGCATCTGGGACGTCTACAACGAGCGTAAGTGCAAGCGCATCTACCAAGGCCACACAAACGCTGTGCGTGGCATCAACTTTGCACCCGACGGCAAGACGTTCCTCACGTGCAGTTTTGATCGGTTCATTCGGCTCTGGGACACGGAGACGGGCCAGGTCCTCCAGACGTACACGAACCGCCGCGTCCCGTACTGCATCAAGGTACAACGAGCCTGTTCTCATCAATGTCCACTCATCGATGGCATGTAGTTTCACCCGGTCGAGACCAACCAGTTTGTCATTGGCGACTCGAACCATATGATTGTGCAGTTTGATACGCGCTCGGGCGGTGCGTTCAACCTCTCGATCACCGTGTAAATAACGGTGGTGTAGAGGTCACCCAAGAGTACAACCACCACTTGCAGACAGTCAACGCCGTGACGTTCGTGGACGACAACCGGCGGTACGCAAGACAAACGACGTCGGAGAGTCTGATGAGGATGCTAGGTTTGTCTCGACGTCGGACGACAAGAAGATTCTCATTTGGGAGTGGGGCATTCCGGTCCCGATCAAGTACATCTCGGAGCCCGGCATGCATTCGATGCCGGCTACGTCGCTGCATCCAAGCGGCAACTACTTTGCGGGCCAGTGCTTGAGCAACCAGATTGACGTGTACACGGCGCGCGACAAGTTTAAGCTCCAGCGCCGCAAGGTGTTTCGCGGTCACGCGTGCGCCGGGTATGCCTGCCAAGTCGGTTTTAGCCCCAACGGCCAGTACGTGGTCAGCGGCGACGGCGAAGGCCAGCTCGTCTTTTGGGACTGGAAGACCACGCGCATGTTCAAGAAGGTCCAAGCGCACTCGAAGGGCCCGACGATGGGCGTTGCGTGGCACCCCCTCGAAGCGTCCAAGGTCGTCACGTGCGGCTGGGACGGCCTCATCAAGTACTGGGACTAGACGTACCCCGTACGTTGTGCGATGCGCATGCTACCAGTGAATATGACGACAATGAATATGATGATGATGATGCAAATGCCAGTATTCGTCTCCCCACTGGCCGTCCCCCAGACCCGACCGTCATCTACGCCGGGTTGTATCAATACATCAAGATGGTGTCGCCTCTTCTCGGACGCTACGCGCCACACGTTTTCGACAGAGGCTGGCGAGGCCACCGAGATCGATCGAGTATTTTTAAGGCGCGGTGAGTGGGGTCCACCGCGGAATAGATCTCTGCGTGCGCAGCTCACGCCCAACAGCCAAGTGCTGGTGCCAACTCCCACGCATTTAGGCATGGCGCTGCGTATGCCAAGTCTTTACGTTCATATATATATATGTGTGTCCATGTGCGCGCGGCGACACGTGCGGTAGTGGAGCTCACATTCAATATTGCTGGATAAATTACACACAAGCAGCAAGCAAGGACCTCTTAGATCTCTTCGACGCTCGGCGTCGACGACGTCGTCGTCATCGAGTCGACGGCCCCGAAAAAGTCCCAAAAGTCCTCGTCGAGAAGCTTGAGCGAGTCGCAGTCGTAGACCACACCGCCTACACATGCCATGAGCTACACAGCAGCATCGGCCTGTTTACCGTGCTGGCAGTAGACCGAGTTGTCGACGACATAGTCGACGTGGTCGTTGTGTCGCACGGCCAAGTGGCCACAGCCAGGTCCGTGGCTCGGCTCTTGCCTAAATGCATGATTGAGCCACTGCGACATCATCTCCTATCGTCGTACCCGTGGGGCAGCGGCTCGTGCGGCCCGCGGGGCACGATCGCGAGCGACTTGACGCCGTCCATGCACACGAGCTGGTTGTTGACGATAAAGTCAAAGTGGTTGCCGTGTTCAATGCTGAGGTGGCCGCAGCCGCGCGCGTGGGCGGCGTGGTCGTGCGTCGGTGCGCACGCATCCGCTTGCTTGGGCTGCAGCTGGCGCTTGGCCGCCTTGGCCGCGGTCTCGTGCACAAACTCGTGCTTGCGAAGATCGACCTTGCGCGCAAACCGGCGCGAGCAGCCCGGAAATGCGCACGCAAAGCGCTTCTCGCCACTACTCGCCGTCGTGAGCCATACTATATCGTCGCCACCGTGTATACAAGGCTTGCATACCTGTGCGTGCGTTCGTGGGAGCGAAGGTCCGAGATGCGGGCAAACTGCTTGTCGCACAAGGCGCACGGGTACGGCTTCTCGCCCGTATGCACACGCATGTGCACCTGCATGTCGGCCTTGCGCGCAAACGTCTTGGGGCACAGCGCGCACTGGAACGGCTTGAGCCCGACGTGCTTGGTCATTTGGTGGCGCTTCAAATTGCCCTTGAAGCGGAAGGCTTGGTTGCACACGTCGCAGACGTACTCCTCTTCCTTGGACGCCGTCGTCGGGCCGTCGAGAAGGCTCGCGTCACGCAGCAACGTCGACAACATGGAGCTGATGGGGAATGGCAGTCTGCGGCCGTCGGAGTCGGCCACCGAGGCGCAAGGCCATTGGCTAAAAAGCCCGCCGTCGGACAAGCTGACTTGCGAAGCGGGATGTGCCACCAAGCTGCCTTTTTTGACCCGAAATCGGTGGCCAGGTGGGGTTTCGATACAAAAGTCAAGTTATTTTAAAACAAAGATGGATTTTATTACGGTGCCGTCTCCGGCGGGGAGACCTATATAGATTAATACTATATACGTTGATAGAGGTTCATGGGACGTGGCCGACGATTGGTCGAGCTCGAGAAAGCCGCATCACCTGCGACACCAAGTTACTACTTGACGTCTCGCGGTGCCACGCACACCGCTTCAACCTATTGGGATGTAGGCGCTCTGATCGAAGCTCCTGATATATTGGCCAGGGTCAATAAACAGCTTATGGGCCCTTGGTATTGGTCGTCGTCGGTGGTAGGATGCAAGCAGGGACGCTTGGTCGACTCGCAGCTTGTGCGGAAAGGCGGGTGTCTCGAGCTGCTGTGGCCAGGTCGATGAACCGTCGCCTAATTGAGGCGCATGTCCATCCTTGCGCCGTGCGTGATGCTGTCCACGTCCAGAATGATTTGATGGAGCCAGAGCTGATGTGATGGACTGCGGGCCACGACGCTGACTTGGTACCACCTAACTACTGCGGGTAAAATGGCGTGACTGCCTCGCGCTGTGTAGCAAGCTTTTGAAGGGCGAACAAGTATTGTTCACGACAATATCGGTGACAAGATGGTCGTTGGCAAAAATTGTTTCGATTTAAATCCAAGTATCCCTTTCTCGACGTCTCTTGGTTGAGCTGAGTGCTCGTCGACATTACTAGTAAGCTACTAGTAAGCTTAGTGGGCTAGAGGACATGGCACGGTGGACGACCACGCTTCTTTTCCAGAAGCAGCGCAATCGCAGCGCGTGTCGTCGAGGCTTCATGGTCTCGAGGACGGTCTTTCTTTCGTCGAACAACAATGCAATCCTTCTCATTTTCTATTGCCACGCGACGCCATCTCGATGCATTTTCAGATTCTTTGTGTAGTTGACACATGAAGCACATTGCGGACCGCAAGTACACGACCGACTCGGATCTCGAGCGTGCGAATCTGACTGGCGGCTCGGTCGAGCAGGCCAAACCGATCTACATTGAAGACAAGTGGAGTCTCTCGGGCCTCTGGAACGACCGCGTCGCCCGGAAACGCGCCGTCTTGCTCGTCACGGGCCTCGTGCTGCTTTTGGTCGGCATGGCTCTCGGGTACTCGTCTCTCTCTCTTGATACTTTGATCGTTGATTGAAACTTAGATACCGCGCGGCGTCCGTGCCAGGGACGCTGCGCACGCAGCAGCTACCCAACAGCCTCAGCTTTGGCGCGTTCGACAACGGCAACGGCCACCTCCCATAGAGCGCGTCCATGGCGGCTTGCCGCGGTTATATAAATCAAAACCCTTTCGGAGAAAGCACAAGATATGTCGTAAAATCAATGGTGGCTTCGAGAAGCGTGCCGTGGCAGGTGGATTGAAGCATCTACCCAACAATCCGGAGGCCGAGGGCAAAGGGAACAGGACGAGTTGGTCACGCAGCGTGACATGAAGCGATTGAAGAGTCCTATCTTGATACTTTGATAAAATTTCGGCGCAGCCCTAAAACGAAATACAAAGAATCTCTGAATTCAGTTTGATCGGTCACAAATGCTGCAAGCTTGTGGGCTTGCCATACGTGTATCGCATTCTTTAGTCGGCTGTACGATATCCCCGGGATGTAGCAGCGCTCGCCTTGGGTTGAAAAATTAATACGTCGGGATCCATCAAGGGAATCAATTGTATTTTCCCTTGGGAGCCATCGACGAAATCTCTGTGGTTGACAACAACACGGTCTCGCTGGCGACAGCTCTGCGCTGTTTACCACACATAGGACACACGCATCATCGAACACATGAACACGTCATAGGAACATCAAGGTCGTTCGGGTATTAAATCCATCCGCGGTAGAAGCGAAGGTATGATACCATACTGATGCAAATGCACACAAAGACAAACCACCAGACGTAGTATCCGTTCTGCGTGTGCAGCTCGGGCATGTTGTCAAAGTTCATGCCGTAGAGACCCGTCATGAACGTGCCGGGAAGGAAGAGCGCGGCGACGAGCGAGATGGTGTACGACACATCCGCCTGTGCTTTCGCACGCGTGTACTGGTCGTCGTTGAGGATTGTGTTGAGCGCGACTTGGTACTCCTTGACGTCGCTCGCCATTTGTTTGAGGTGGTCTTTTACATCGCGCACGTAGTTGCGGACTTCGCCCTAGACAATTGGTGCACGTTTAGAAAAAAACAACATATTTTTCATGGTGGAAACCATGAAAAATACCGTTTGAAATTCAGGTTGGTCGCTCATCGGGCCGTCGACAAGGTCCAAGAACGGCCGAATGAGCTTGTCCAACGCGAGAAGCTGTTTTTGGCGTGCGACACGAGCTTCGTGTCAAACTTGGTGCCTTCGAGCCCTTGGAGGGCCTCCAACACTGCGATCTTGACCTCAAACACTTGGATGAGCGGCCGCATCTCGTCGACAATCGCGTTCAAAATCGCAATCACAAGGAAATGCGCATTGTGGTTGCGGAGCTTGGAGTACGACTTCCCCATGTTGTCGTCGTAGATCGCACCCCAGAGCTGGAACGCAGCGTCGTCCCCCACGTCCGCGTCTTCCTGGACGCTCAGCACGTTGTCGTCGCGCGTCATAAAGATGCAGAGCTGCTGCGGCTTGCGCATGAGACAACGGAGGTTCTTGAGCATGCCGTGGAGCGTCTCGGGCGTCTGTGACGCGTAGTCGTCATCGTCCGCGTACTCTTCGTTGCCGTCGGCGAGCGCTTGGTCGCGCTCAAAGAGCAAGTTGCGGTGCTTCTGAATGTACGTTTGGATGAGACACGACTTGGCGTCGTCGACGGGGCGCGTCACCGGCACCACCTACGCAGCGAATACCGTGTGGCATAATGCTTGCGAGATGGCGAGCATCTAGTACCACAAACGTGTGGTCTTCGTAGTGCTCGTACTTGCAGCGAATGCTGTCGCTCTTCTTGAGGCAGTCTTCGACCGCGAGCGGGTGGAGCTGGTACTTGATCGCGAGCCGGCGCATGTGCAAATCGTTGAGGTCGCTGATGCCGGCCATGTGCACCCAGCGCACTTTGGCCCACGCGGGTTTGGTCGAGAACATGAAGCTCTCGAGCTTCCGGACAGGATCCACCGTGTGGATGGTCAGAGCCGAGTAGTCGACGACGCGAAAGACGCTTTGGAGTGCGCGCGCCTGGAGCACGTACTCGGGCTTGAAGAGGTGCGCGAGCTTGACCATCTGCACGACGCGCACAAACTCGGGAAACGAAATGTGCAGATCCGCGTTCGAGTCGACCTTGCGCACAAACGCGTCAAAGTCGGCGCCATCGGGACACACGATGCCGAGCGCGAGCAGCCCGTGGTGGAACGCGTCGTATGTCACGAGGTCATTGTCTATGACAACTTGTCGGCTTCGAAATAGAGCAACGGGTACGTACTGTCGTGCGTAAAGTAGGCAAAGAGACGGCGCATGCGACCGGTCGTCACGTCATAGTACGGATCCAAGAGCACGTTGAGGCCTTCGTTGTCCTCCGCGCCCGCGCTGTCGCTGAAATTGGACATCTTGCGCATCGAGCTGCGACGGCTGGCCGCGACCGACACCGTGTTGGCGTGGTCCCAGTCCATGACGCGCACGTCCGCGATGCGCAGCTTGGTCGGCGACGCATCTTCGATCCACTTTTCCTCAGCTGGGTGGTCAACGCGCACGGCGAGCGAGTACAGCGGCTTCGAGGGCTCGAACGTATCGTAGTTTAGCAGCGGCAGCGTCTCGTGCGCCGCGTCCTCGTTCGCCGGCGTGCGCCCCTTGTGGGCTCGAGGCGGCGACTGACTCATATGAGAGGTTTCGCCCAATGGCCTTGCAGATATATCACTCGAGCCGAATGGGCCAATCAAACGCCGAGATGGTGGGGTGGCGAACGAAGGATCGCATTTTGGCCAATCACATGCCGACTACGCGATACGGCAATCTGCAATCAATTGAGGATTCAATGCTTCAGATGCTTTGTACGGCAGGCAGCCATCTTCTTCAGTGGCCGGTGCGAGAGCCCATAGAGCTGCTGGATGGCAGCGAGAAGCGTTTGATTGACCTGCTGCTGTCGACGACATGACCTGCCCTTTCTGGTCGGTCACTGCCGAGTATGAGTATCGTGCACACTGTCTAGATGCACTTCGTCGCCGCGCAAACGAATCATGCAAGGCCCATGCACGCAGCAAGGTTAACCTCTGATTTTCATGCATCTTTCCATGCATCTTTTCATGTAGTCGTAGGTCGACCGGCACAATGGCAGGGCGGCCCCACGCTACACCTAGCGACACCAATGCAGCAGCAGCTGTACCAGCGACCGATACAGTCCACATCGTATGCGTCATTATGCTGTCATGGCCAGTACAATGGGTCCAAACGATTTATTGAAACAATTTACGACGACGCACTGCTAGAGGTCGCGTGCAGCTGCTGACACAAGGGCACGTTGCAGGTAAGACCTGTATCGCTTTTCATGCAGTGGGTCGCATGGAACACAAAGAGCTCGATCAAGCCGTCGACGATGGACATGGCGAGAGCTTCAGCGTTGAAGGAGAGCCAACTCATGCACTGGAGGAGTCGCTTCATCGCCAAACACATGTCGCAGTACGTAGCGCGCACGCACGGCACGTCGTCGCACGCGCAGGCGTGTACGAGCAGCTCGTTCATCTCGCACATGCCTCGGTGCAGCTACAAAGAGGCCTTTTGTGTAGGTATTGGCCATCGAAAATGACGCACCTCCTCGGGCGTCGGCGCCACAGCATCTTCTTCATCATCGTCGTCATCATCATCGTCATTATCGTCATCATCGTCTTCTTCAAGCGCGCCTTCGTCGTGCGCATGGAGCTGGCCAGCGTCAACCGTCAGCGCACACGCAGGGCAGAACCAGTCGTCGTCTGGTACTGTCGCGAGTCCGATGCAAAACGTGTGGTACACTACGTTGCAACCTGAGGTCCATGATGGCGCTCGAGGAACCAATTGACGCACCTCGGTCGCACCCGTCGCAGAGCAAGCTCGCATCGGCATCGTCGCTGCGGTCGCAGATCTCACAGCACGCGCTCTATCCGGCAATGTACGCATTTGCCAGGGATCATGCATAGGTCGTGAGTCAAGTCTACTACCTCGTCGCTGGAAGCGCCATCGTCGTCGCCATCATCGTTGTCGTCGTCATCGTCGTCGTCACTCGTGTCGGTGGCAGCGTAGAACTACATGGGACAGCGCCTCGTACGGCTCGTCTCGCATAGAGGCGTGTGCCAAGCGTACCTGCCGGATGACAACTGCAATGCGTCTCGTCATCTGCCCCCGGGTTCGCGACCGCGGCAAAGCCAGCTCCGCACAGAGTCGCCGAAGTGACGCGACCGTGAGACCGTAGAACGAGTCGCGCATTAAGGCGTGGAGCTCCTGCCATCGCTCCGGCGGGATCGCTGCCCGGCGCCAGGCGCGAACCTCGTCGTTCATTTGCGTGGCCGATCGCAAAATGATGGCTTGGCATTTTGGTCAACTGGATTGGGTCTATGTAGCCAATCAAATCGCATTCGTCATAAAACATCAGCCAATCACGGCGCGCCGTTACCGATCCAAGGCAACGCGCCAACGGTCTATGACACAGCAATCCTTGTTGGGAGTCGAATCGGTATGCTACTAGAGTACTCGTGGCAAGCAATATGCAAGAGAAACCATTCTAGCAGCTGTGCTCGGGTCCCCAAAGATACGACCAAGCTCTCAAACCATGGCAAGTCCGTCGTCATCGCAGCGGACCAGAGCCTTGCTCAACTGTTATCGCTATATCGCCACACTGAAGCCAGTTGACATCTTGCAGAACGAGACCGATGTGTGGCTACAGCGGCTCGCTTGCAGCGAGGAGCCAAATATGTACGCATGCACTTGCCAGATCCATCAACCTCTGCTGCAAGATTGCCGTTTTGCTCGTGTTACATTGGACCGTGAGACTACACGGACGACAAGGATCACATTTGAAATCAAAATCGTCTCTTGCATTGTCTTGGCAACCAAAACCAGGCGCTCGGTACCTAGTTGCAGGACGAGTGGCGACGACGCAGCGGCTTCGTGGTGGGCTCGACATTGGTTGTGAGTACGGTTGTTGTGAGCAGCTTCATCTGGGCGTGCATCTGGTGAAGCCCATCGATCGTGGTTTGCAAAAGCTTGGCAAGTTGCTGGGATGAACCCGACGACGGCGCTTTTGCCTCGATCAACAAACGACGTGTCACCTGGAGCTGCTTGCCGCGATTGCGGGGGCTCATGCGCATGGCCTTGGTCGGGCGTACAATGCGACATATTGGCGTCGACGGCGCAGGCCGCTTGACTGCAGTCCGCGCCACTGGCGCGACAGGCGCCGGTACCGCCGCGACCAGCAACACATACTCGACCACCTTGGCCAGAAAGGCGCGGCGAAGCGTGCGATCCATATCGAGGACTTTGAGCACGCGCTTCCACTGCGTCAAGTCCACAAGCTTGATGGTGGGTGGGAGATCGGACCGCGCTACAGTCGCAGCGCGACGACACAAGTAGTGAAACCGCAGCGGGTTGCGAGCGCGATCGACGTGCATGTCGTGGGCAGAGATCACAATCGCCGACCGGCCAGGCTTGCTGTACGCGCGGACCATGTCCATGCGACTGAGGCCAGTCTTGAGCGACTCGGGCGACCGCGCGATGCAGAGAAAGGCCGTGGCGTCGCGCCGGACCGTCGTTGTTTGTGGAGGAAACGGTACGTCGTCGTTGCCGCCGCTCCACATCATCTCGCGCATCTCGGCCACGTCAGCCACTGCAAAGTAGAGGCCCTCTAGGACGTGGCCAGTAGACGCGGCCGTGAGATCCGTTGTCGCCACCGTGTCGCCGCCCACAGACGCGACGAGAACGTCATGAAGCTTCTCGAGATGCAAGTCTTCAAGGACAGCGCCCGTCGAGTGCGCCTTGGCAATGAAGAGGTCGACCCACTTGGGGTGAGCGAGGACTTCATGGAGCAGAAGCATGGCGAAGACGAGGTCGCGGGCGGGCGGCGAGGACGGGCTCGGCCGGTATGGGCTCGGTTGCGCGACTCGTAGACTGAGCAAGTGAAGATACGCGTTACCCAGTGTTTGTATACCATACAAATACTAAGCTCATTAAATTGAATTTGTATGCAATACTTGGCCTCTTTTTTAAATAGTGTCGGTAGCATACAAACACAAAGCTAGCTTAAATCCTGGAATTGGACGACTTCGGCTTTTCAGACCAATCCAAGAGACCGGTTGCCTGAATTTGCACCAATCAGAGCGCGGCAAATAATCCTAAGATCTCCAGGATCGCGTTGACATGTGAAGTGTGATGTCCATCATTACGCTAGCGCGATAGCCCGGTCCAACTTACAGTCGATGTTTAAGAGCATGATGCTACAAACTGATGAGCTGCAGCCGATCCACCGATCCTCCGCCAGGCATGTGGACGAGAAGGGTAGCTCTGTCTTTTCACGCCCGCGTCGGTGGTCTACAGTAGAAACACAACCAACTGCATTAATGCGAAACGCCACGCGTCGCGTCGCTGAACTGTGTCGGCTCGCAACGCTAGCACGCATGCCCTCTCTACTCCTTCACGTTTGCAGGTGCCGCTTGCTTCGGCTCATTTGACGCACAATAGGGTTGATACGTTAATCGTTTTACCTCATCTTTAACCCCGGCAAAATGGATATTACGTGTCGTCCAGGTTGTGGCACCAAGAATCATGGAAACCACCAGCGCCGTGATCGGCGTCCCTGTTCGGATCGTACCCGAGTCCGCACCGGGCTCTTGCGTGGTGCTGCTGGCGGCCGATGCCACAAGCTCTTGCATCCTTGCAGATGCTACGCCCGGGCGCTGCCTTGCCCAAGAGTGGGTCTTCGACGGCCACAGTATCACGCCGCTGGCCGAACCGACGCTGCACCTCGGCGCTGACGTGCATGGCCGCAGCTGCATGTATCCGCCATCGGCAACTCTCTTCAAGTGGGTCTATTGCAGTGGGTACCTACTTCCTCGTCATGATTTGGGCTCCTGCCTCACGCAGCTCAGCGATGGAACCATGGGCCTTCGACCGCTCGTCATTGGAGACGTCACGCAGCAGTGGCGGCTCGAGCCCATTGAAATCATCGATGCGCCTCTTCCGCGGATCACGCGGATGGCAGACGAAGCGGCGAATGATGCGCTTCCTACCGTCGACTTAGCTTCGCTCTCGGTGCATGACATTGCCCATCTGCTCACATCCGGCGGCTTTCCATCGAGCCTCGTGGCCCAATGTCGGACGCTTGAGATCAACGGCGACGCTTTGCAGCACTGTACTTCGGTCGACGATCTCATGCAATTGGGTCAATATGATGTCGCCATGGCCGAGTTTCTGTGGAAAAAAGTCCGCTTCTTTCATCGCCACGGTGTGCCGCAGCGGCTCGTCGTACCCATGGTCTTTATCATCCAGTCGGTTAAGGACCCTCGCATGTGCTTGCATTTGATCAGCGGCGACGCCAAGGGTGCGCCCAACGGCGACCGCTGTCACCTCTGGACGACCGTCACAACGCGTCGCCATCCCGCGCAGGAATGGCTGCTGGAAGGTCCTTTGATCAAGTCAATCAAAGACACGACCAAGTGCATCCATGTAGCGAGCGGCGCGTCCCCAGGCACATTTAACGGTGACGTGTGCCACCTCTGGCGCACCGTGCCGGGTGCCCACGCCGCTCAAGAGTGGTCGTTCGATGGCAAGCGCATCGTGTCGGCAAAAGATTCGACCAAGTGCATTCACGTGGCCAGCGGCATGGCGCACCCGTCGTTCAACGGCGATGTGTGCCATCTCTGGGACGTCCAACCCGGCGACTACCCTGCACAGGAGTGGACGCTCGTCCCCGTCGCCGAGGCGTAAAACTCGAAACATGAAATTGTGGAGTCACAAGCAGTCGTCGGTCCAAGCGTGTCTTCCACGTACAAGCCAATGAACCATGCTGATGCATGCACAGGAACATTGTAGCAAGTATCTCTCTACCTGCTAACGACCGTCCTAGCGTTGGCTCACCTCCATCGCGGTTTGCCTACCGATATGTGCTGTCGCGACGAGTTGACTGCTCGCGAGCATGTGTTGAAAGCATCATCCATCGCACATGTGTAAAGCCACGTTTGGCGTCAATGGCGTGCGAGCCGCCGACTCACTAAACGTGGCAAACAACCGACTTCAGTTTCCGTTGCAGACGACGTTTCGCGATCATGGGCGCGGCCGCAAGCGTCGAGTCGGGCGACTCGTACAGCAAGGAGCAATGCCAGGCCATTTGCGGTGATCTGTTCGACGATGCGATGTGGACCATGCACGCGTCCAAGGAGTCGCAGACTATTTCTGGTGCCAAGCTCCACGAAGTGCTCTCGTCGATCACGGACGTCTTCCTCACGCATGACTGGGGCGTCGACGGCGCCAACCACCGCCACGTGAGCGTCATCAACCAGCTCCTTATCGAGCGGGGCATCACAACGTGGTTTGACGAAGAGAAAATGGAGGTAGACGCCATCTCATGCCTTGATAAGATTAAGATTTTAAGATGCTTCTCGTGTCATGTAGGGCAACATCAAGATGAAGATGATCACGGGCATTGAAAACTCGCGTTGCATTGTCGTCTTTGTCACACAGCGCTACATGGACAAGGTGGGCGGACCGAATGGCGAGGACAACTGCCAACTCGAGTTCAACTACGCGGCGCGGCGCAAAACGAACGCCAAGATGATCTCGGTGGTCATGGACCCAAAGGCCAAGGACACGCGCGCCTGGGTCGGGCCCGTGGGCATGACCCTCGGCGGCGACCTTTACCTTGATTTCTCGACCGTCTTTGACTCGCATCCCGAGCTCCTCCCGGCCAAAATCGACGAACTCATGGCCAAGCTCATGACGATCATTGGCAAGCCACTCAAGCAGTGCTTTGCGAGTGGCGGCGTCGCGATCCCGAACGCGACCGTGCCGCTCGAGTCGCTTTCGACCGACCAAGTCACGACGCTTCTCACCGCCCTCGAGTACGCCACGTACTGCGACGTGTTTCGGCAAAACGAAATCAACGGCGCCGCCCTCATGGGCATCACATGCGCCGACGAGGTCAAGGAGATTGGCGTCACACTCGCGATCAAAGCCCGAGCACTCTATGACAAGATCCACGCGTTTCAAGTGCATGGCGTGCCCAAGCAGCTCCTCCGGGAAAAAGCCGCGCAAAAGCCAGCGCACACACCGCCCGCGACGACGACCCATGCGCCCCCGACGCCGCCGCACGCCGCCTCGAGCGTCCCTGCCGGGCCATGCCGCATCGTGTCGGTCAAAAGCCCGGATCGGTGCCTGCAGCTCGAGAGCGGCAATGCCGACGTCTACAACGGCGATCGGTGCCAGCTCTGGGAGATCGCCGCCGGCGTGCGGGGCCAGGAATGGATCTACGACAACAAGCTCATTCGCCTCGCAAGCAATCCCGCCAAGTGCATCCACCTGCAGAGCGGGACTGGGCCAACAGGCGATGGCGACGTGTGCCACCTCTGGGACGTGCAGCCGGGCAAATACCCTGCGCAAGAGTGGCTCATCGAGGGCCATTTGATCAAGTCGGCCAAAGACCCAGCGCGCTGTATTCATCTGCAGTGCGGGATGCACCCTGCGTTTAGCGGTGACGCGTGCCACCTCTGGCACATTCAATACCCGTCCTACTCGGCCCAAGAATGGACCTTTGTGTCGCTTACGGCGAAGCAGCGGGTCCGGCTGCAGTCGGTCAAGTGCCCCAACATGTGCATGCAAATCTTCTCGGGCGAGAACGGCGACCGCTGCTACCTCCGCACGACGCACAGCGGCCCGTACCCGGCGCAAGAATGGATCTACGACGGTCGGTACATCTTTTCCGTGCTGTCGCCGAGTCGGTGCATTCACTTGATGAGTGGCGACGGCCCAACCTCCAATGGCGACGTGTGCCAGCTCTGGGATTTCCAGGACCGTCCATCGTACCCTGCGCAGGAGTGGATCCTGGATGGCAAGTTGCTCAAGTCGGCCAAGGACAAGTACCGCTGCATCCACTTGCAGAGTGGCACGTCGCGCACCCCTGAAGGCGATTTATGCCACTTGTGGGAAGTCCAGAATTGCCACTACCCCGGCCAAGAATGGGAACTCGTGCCCGTCGAGTAGCCAACCACCCATTGTCCATCATCATCATGTACACACAACAACATTCCTATACCTACGCTACTTTTTTGTGTTTGCCAAGGGTGATAACCTCCCTCTACTCTCTCGCCTCCATCAACTTGAAGCCAGATTCGCAAATTGTGATGCCCATCGCACCCTAGCCCTCCTTGGATAGATAGATAGATCGATAGATGGATAGATAGATAGATAGATAGATAGATAGATAGATAGATAGATAGAATAAGACTTTGTTCGCTTTAGGTTCGCCTGCAGATCTCTGCATTTCCACAACGTGCACGCAATATTCGATTCTACCGGTAGTCAAAGCGGTGGAGATCGCGGCTCTCCTTCCTGTGCATGACCTCAACGACCTCAGCGATGAGCAGATCAAGGCGACAACGCCCTGTCGGTTGGCTGGGCGAAGAAACCCCCGTCCGAATACAGTCCTTTTTTCGTTTACCGGCTCATCTTCCATGGTTTCCACGTCTCCAAACCTGAATTTGCTGCCAAATGGACAAGCTCGGTGACGTCGTACTGGCGACGCCGCGCCCGGTGCCCTTTCTTCTGCAGTCAGCGGCGAGTCCATCGCGCTGCATCCACCTGCAGAGCGGCACCGGCCGAAGCGAGAACGGCGACGTCTGCCACCTCTGGACGACGATGCCGGGCACGTATGCAGCTCAAGAGTGGTTCTATGACCGCAAGCTCCTGCGGTCGATGAAGGACCCGACCAAGTGCATTCATCTCCAGAGCGGGTCGGGGCCGACGTTCAACGGCGATGTGTGCCACCTCTGGGACATCCAGTCCGGGTCGTACCCGGCGCAGGAGTGGCTCCTTGACGGGAAGCTCATTCGGTCGGCGAAGGATCCAACCAAGTGCATCCACCTCAAGGACGGCAGCGGCTTTGACGGTGACAAGTGCCACCTCTGGGACGTCCAAGATGGAGCGTATCCGATGCAGGAGTGGAACGTCGTGTACCTCCCGACGGCGATGGCCGCCACCGACGTCGTGCCGCTCCGGTCGCTCAACTGCGCCCAAGTCTACCAACTCCTCTCGGCGCTCGAGTTTACAAAGCACAAGGATATGTTTCTGATGCACGAGATCAACGGCCACGCACTTTCGTGCTGCGAGACCGCCGACGAGCTGCTCGAGCTCGGCGCGATGCCAAAATTGAAGGCCAAGTCGCTCTTCGAGACGCTCCAGCAGCTGCGCGCCAGCGGTGTGTCGCTTGCTTTCTTTGGCTGCGAGCCGCTGCCGAAGCGCCGGTTCCGAATTCAGTCGGTCAAGTGCCCCGCGAAATGCATTCATCTGCAGAGCGGCGAGGCTGACACCGCGTTCAACGGCGACGTCTGCCATCTCTGGGATACCATTCCGAGGTCGTACGAAGCACAGACTTGGATCTTTGATGGCGCGCTCATCAAGTCGGCCAAGGACCCGACCAAGTGCATCCATCTGAAGAGCGGAACGGCACCGTCCGGCAACGGCGACGCCTGCCACCTCTGGGACATCCAGCCCGGCTCGTACCCGGCGCAGGAGTGGCGCTTTGACGGCAAGCTGCTTCGCTCGGTCAAGTGCCCGACCAAGTGCATTCACCTCAAGAGCGGCCGCAGCGAGCCGTCGAACGGCGTGGTGTGCCACTTGTGGGACGCCGTCGACGGACCGTACGCGGCGCAGGAGTGGACGCTCGTGCCGTGTTAGTCGTCGCAAGGCGGTCTTGTTGCCCGATCACCGACGTGCAAGAAGGGTAAACCACAGAATCTAATGCGTATCTGCCAGTGTATTTGCCCGCATCAGGAGTATCCTCCGCCGTCACAAGTGGTAAGATGCAAGTGGCACTGAGTCGACCTGTTTCACATGCAGGAGGTGCGGGGTTCGAGCCCCGTAGATATTGTCCCTTTCTTCTCTTTCCCATTGCCGTTGGCATCGGGACCATCAAGCACACCCCATCCGGACACGAATGTCACTGAAGACGGTCACCATAATAAGGCAACGCTCGGCATGTGCCACAAAGAACACAAGGAAGAAGCGCGATGAAACGGCTCATTAGTTAGGGTTAAACGTCAAATGCACCCGTCTGAACTACCATCAAGCACAGCTCGACAGCATGCACACATGCACGTCGCAGCAAGCAACGGATGAGGCAAGAATTCCGTACAGTAGGATCCCACATATGGTAGCAATAGATTCGCAGATATTCATATATGTGTATGGGCGTATGTATAGATGGTATTTGATGATGTGCGAACGAGGTGGAGTGGTCACATGTTCCGCCGCGTCCAGTGCCAGTCCGCCCTACGGCCCCACTGTCCGGCCTCATGATCCGCCCTCTTTTCTCGCGTCTTCACCGACCATGGTGGTCGTACATATCCCTGGTTGTTTAATTCGAGTGCAGTGTACATATTATTCATCATACTAGGCTCGATAAGTTTTACCATGCACGTTCGGGCTGTTTCCAAGAAATGGAAAAGGTTTTCTGCGCAAGCGAACGAGAAGGCCGATTTCAAGATCGCACACGATACAATCCTAGATCGAGGCGCAGAGCAAGCTAAATTGATAGTGTCAGTCAAATAGCCAACCCGCCTCGCCCACCACTGGCATGGCGGACTCCAACACGGTGGTTGCCCCCAAGTAGTTCGGTCTTGATTGAGGAAGATCGATTTCGTGGCGTTCCTTCTTGCGACGAACGAAGCTTCCGGCGGGTGCTCGCCGGGTGCGACGTGCGCTTTTTCGTGTAATTTTAAAATCGATCCAAATCCATGACGTGTGGCCGTGTTGTCGACGCTATGATGACCGTACCGCTCATTTCTATGGGAACGGCGCCTGCATAGACCCTACACGGCTACATATACCAGTACGTCAGGTGCAGGCCTTGCGCCTTGACAGAGCTTAAAAAACGTCCTGAAAGTGGTTGCGTCGAGACGACGATCCCCACATCTGCACATCTGGGCGGCTTGGATACATTGTGCACCTCGCGTGTCGCATGGCTTCTCAAGCTAACTTAGATATTCCTTCGATCGAATGTTCATGGCGCTTGCGACACACCGACCCAACTGGCACGAGGCGTGGGAGGGAGCTGTCCTGATCTGTCCCGAGTGCTCTTGCAATCTGTATACGCCGGGTATTCGAGGTCCAGCTGCTATGGCGAGCCTATCCACACTGACCTTCTATGCCGGCCGAAACCTTTGACCTTTCATAGCCTTCTTCATTGCAAGCTCAACAAATATCGTAAAATAAAAAGCATTATTTTTACCTTATATTATGAATCCTGTAGCAAATAGTATACATATCCATATCCTGTCCGAATACATATTCTCTAACATCGTATATATTTCCACCATACACACGGGCCATGTCGACCAACTCCCATACGAATCAGTTTTCATTTTCCATCGTCCAATGCATCTCCTGCCCGGCGACCTCATCCGGCTCGTCGAGACGCCCAAGGAGAAGGCCAAGGACGCGGTGGCGGCCCTCGGCGGCGCCGATGGCATCGCGTATGCGCTCAACGTCTCGCTCGATGCTGGCCTCTTTAGCGCCGACGTTGCCGACCTCCAGAAGCGCCAAGAGACCTATGGCAAAAACTACATTGAGCCGTCCAAGCCCGCGACGCTCCTCGCGCTCATGTGGCATGCGTTCCAGGACCTCACGATCATCGTGCTCACGGGCGCCGGCGTCCTCTCGCTCGTGCTCGGCTTCACGGTCGGCCATAAAGAGAAGGTCCTGCGCAACGCCACCGCGACGCGCGCGCTCGCCGGCGGCAGCGCGGGCACGGCGTGGATCGAAGGCTTCTCGATTCTGCTGGCCGTCACGATCGTCGTCATGGTCACGGCGCTCAACAACTACCAAAAGGACAAGCAGTTCCGCGCCCTGAACGCGGTCAAGGACGACGAGAAGATCAAGGTCATCCGCGACGGCGAGCCATCTGAAGTTGGCAAGTTTGACTTGGTTGTGGGTGACATCGTGCGGCTCGACGTCGGCGACATCCTTCCGGCGGACGGTCTCGTGCTCGCCTCGTCGGACCTCAAGCTCGACGAGAGCGCCATGACCGGCGAGTCGTTCTTGATGCTCAAGGACAAGATCAATGCGCCGTTTCTCTTCTCGGGTACCAAAGTCATGGAAGGCATGGGGACGATGCTTGTGCTCTGCGTCGGCGCGTCGTCCCAAGCCGGCATGATCTCGTCGCTCGTCATGGGCAAGGCCACGCCGGTCAAGGAAGCACCCGAGATTGTCGTCGAGACCAGCGGCAATGCGTACATGCAGCTCTCGACGCCGCGCAGCAGCCTCCAAGACGCCAAGTTGGCGGCCAACGCCCCGACGTCGTCCAAGAATGACAGCGTCTCGCCGCTCCAAGGCAAGCTGGACAAACTCACGCTCTTCCTCGGCAAGTTCGGCTTTACCGTCTCGACCTTTGTCGTCCTTGCACTCGTCACGCGCTACTCGATCGAAAAGTTTGGTGTTCAGGAAGCCGCGTGGTCGACCGACGACCTCAAGGAGTTTCTGCACTTTTTCATTGTTGGCGTCTCGGTGCTCGTCGTCTCGATCCCTGAAGGCCTCCCGCTCGCTGTGACGATCTCGCTTGCGTTCTCGGTCAAGAAGATGCTTGCCGACAACAACCTCGTGCGTCATTTGAGTGCATGCGAGACGATGGGGTCGGCGACGACCATTTGCTCGGACAAGACGGGCACGCTCACCACCAACAAGATGACCGTCATGCAGTGCCGCATTGGCCAGACCACGTTTGCGCCGGCGTCCGACTTGGATACGATCACGTTGGCGCCGTCGACGCGCGAGCGCCTCGTGCACGCCATGTGCTTGAACTCGACCGCCGAGTTGATCGGGCCCGAGCGTGCCCACACGGGCAACAAGACCGAGTGCGCGCTTCTGATGTTCGCGTCGCAGCTCGGCGCGCCGTCGTACGCGGCGCTGCGCAAGGACTTTGGCAGCGTCTGCCACTGGCTGCCGTTCAGCTCGGCCAAGAAGCGCATGTCGATCGTGCTGCCGTTGTCAGCGACGACTACCCGCGTCTTCACCAAGGGCGCGAGCGAGATTGTCCTCGGTCTCTGCGACTCGCAGCTCCTTGAAGACGGCTCGTCGATCGCACTGAACGATACCACGAGCCACTTGGCGAGCATCTCGTCGTTTGCCAAGAACGGTCTCCGCACGCTCTGCCTCGCCTTCAAGGACGTCGACGCGCCGTACGATGTGGTTGCGGCCATGCCCGAGGCGCAGCTCGAGTCCAACTTGACGTGCATTGCGATCGTCGGCATTGAAGACCCGCTTCGTCCGGAAGTCCCTGGCGCCATCCGTCAATGCAACCAAGCCGGCATCGTCGTGCGCATGGTCACCGGTGACAACATTGACACGGCCAGGTCGATCGCGTCCAAGTGCGGGATCCTCCCGGCCGACGACCCGGACGCTATCGTCATGGAAGGTGCGACGTTCCGCGCGGCCGTCCTCGACGCCCGCGGCAACATCAAGCAAGATGCGTTCGATGCGATCTGGCCCAACCTCCGCGTCCTCGCGCGGTCGTCGCCCCAGGATAAGTACACGCTCGTCTCGGGCATGATGCAGTCGACGATTCATGGGCCGCAGGTCGTGGCGGTCACGGGCGATGGCACCAACGACGCGCCGGCGCTCAAGAAGGCCAACGTCGGCTTCGCCATGGGCATTTGCGGCACGGCCGTCTCGAAAGACGCCTCGGATATCATTCTCATGGACGACAACTTCAAGTCGATTGTGAACGCGGTCAAGTGGGGCCGCAACGTCTACGATTCGGTCTCCAAGTTTCTCCAGTTTCAGCTCACGGTCACGGTCACCGCGATCACGCTCTGCGTCATTGGCGCCGTCGTCCTCGAAGAGACGCCGCTGACCGCGATCCAGCTTCTCTGGGTCAACTTGATCATGAACACGTTTGCATCGCTCGCGCTGGCGACTGGGATCCCCACGGACGCGATGCTCGAGCGCAAGCCGTACCCCAAGACAAAGGCGCTCATCTCCAAGAAGATGACCAAGCACATTGTGGGCCAAGCGCTCTTCCAGCTCGCGGTGCTTCTGACGCTGACGTTCAAGGGCGAGAAGCTGCTTGACATTCCGTCGGGCCGCAAGTACGAAATTGTGACGGCCGACCCGTCCCAGCACTACACGATGGTCTTCAACACGTTCGTCTTCCTCCAGCTCTTCAACGAGATCAACGCGCGCTGCATTCACGACGAGGCCAACATCATGGACGGCTTTTTCGCCAACAAGCTGTACCTCGGCATCTCGGTCATCCAAGTCGTGCTCCAAGTGCTCATTGTGCAGTTTGGCGGCAGCGTCTTCGAGTGCGCGCCGTTGAGCGTCTCGCAGTGGTTTGTGTGCCTCGGCCTTGGCGCGCTGAGCTTGCCGATCGGCTTTTGCCTCCGCCGCATCCACTCGCACCACCTTCCCAAGTCGTTTGGCTTTGTCCGCAAGGCCCCGACGACCGCGCTTCGCTTCCACCGATAACAGCCAACCAGCAATTCTTGCGTGGTTGCGTTCTCAGTGTCGGTCGTCGTCTCCCGTGCACATGTCTCTTTTGGATAAAACAACTTAAACAATACATGTCTATGCACGAAGTCACATGACATCTGGACCACGCACGACGTACAGTAGCAGTGCAACGTCGGCAACTTCGGCAAGAGGCCTCATGAAAACCACCCCGCCGTGCTGCCACGTCATGACCTCTGAAACCGTCGATGGTTTAATTGGATAGAATCTTGGCCAACAACATATCCAACAACACAAAGACAATCGAACTTACTACATTGTTGGACGTTTGTCTTTACCTCGATTAAGTCGACTCGACGTAGATCCTAGTCGACGCAGTTGGGCTTGTCGGGCACAAGCGTGCACTCTTGCGATGGGCATGGGCGGTCGTAGACAATATCCCAGAGATGGCAACTGTCGTCGTCGCCCGCGCTTGAGACGCGAATGTACTTGCTCGGGTCCTGGACCGACCGAAAAGCTTACCATCGTAAAGCCACTCGTGGTTGGCCCCTCGAGAACTGCGCGCAATATCCCAAACGTGGCACGCGTTGCCGTTGAACGTCGCGCTGCCGTGCTTGAGGCACTTGAATGTGTCCTTGGCCAGCACTATCACTAGCCCATGAATGCTCCACGCTTGGGCCGGACAGTGCGTCGTCTTTGTCGGCCCGAGAACGCATCGGTCGCCGTTGCGGCGACCACCGGCGCCACTTTCGAGCTGGAAACACAAGGACGGACGCTTGACCGAGTGAAAGCGGTACGTCGGCGTGGCATTCGGCGCGAGCTCCAGCAGCTGCGCAGGCCCGGGGCAGCGATGGCAAGCACTTGGGTAAGCTGGTGATGACGACGCGTACGAGAAACGATGCGCACCACTCGACCGGCTTGTGCATCGTCGATCGACGGTGAATCCAGTAGCGTTGTGGACAACGGAAAATGAACACCGACACCGAATGGGCAGATCTTTCGACGAGATACAAGGTCCAAGTGTCCGGACAGGCCATGGACAAAAGAGAATCGCCGCGAGCTCGCTTTGGTGACCACGAAGACAATCCAAGAAAGGGCATTTACATGTCGATGCCTTGTTCGGATGGCTGTGGACAATATGTGGTGGATATGTCGTAAAACATATGATCTGTCCGTATACACCTACCCCTCGCGAAATCGTCGTGCATTGTAGGTGACATACGCTTCGTTTTCGCTATCCAAACACTTCTTCTTGGTAGCGCGGAGAATGCGCAAAGGATGTCCACTGCTCGGCCGAGAGGTGTCGCTGGAGGACATCGCGGACTTGGGACACCATGCGCTGGCGGCCGCAGACAAACACACTCGCGTCCTCTTCCAAAATGGCTACCTGGACCCACGCCATTTGGCTCGCGACCATGTCTTGTACGTACATGGTGGGACCCGCCGACGCGTCGCGCGAGTAGGCATAGTGGGTCTGCACGCCGCGCTGCAGCAATTCGTCCTCAAAGAGCCGCGCGGATGACGTGCGGCACCCGAAAAAGAGGTGCATCGGGCCGCAGGTGGCAGGTCGTTGCTGCCATAGCGCCCGCATTGGTGCGATGCCCGAGCCCGCGGCGATCATAAGCAGCGGTCGCGACACGTCCGTTGGAAAGCTATACGTCGACGGCTTGGTGTAGCCGCGCAGCGGCACTACCGCGTCGGGTCCGAGAGACCCGAGCGCATGCAGGTATGTCGCCATGACGCCAAAGTGCAAAGTGGCATCGGACGATGGCGGCGGCACTGCGATGACGAGGTCCAAGGTGGGCGCCTCCAGCGTGTGCGACGCGATCGTATAGCTCCGTGGCGCCATGGGCGACAGTAGCGGCAGGAGGTCGACGAGGGAGAGCTGCGTGGACGCAAATTGCGTGAGCACGCCCATCACCGTGTAGTGGGGCAGGTCAGCGTACGCTGTTGCGCCGTCGAGGGACCCAAGGTGAGCGAGTTGCGACCGCTCGCCGTCGTCGGTGGCCCACGGCGCCAGACCCGATAGGAGGCTGCGCGAAATGCTTTGGCAGTCGACCTCATGCGTGAGCACGGACCGAACCGTCGCCGGTGTACGAAACGGGGCATCGTCGCCAGTGTACGTCACGTAGTGGTCGAGCGACGCATTGCAACGGCGCGCTAGACTCTCGACAACGCCATCGGGGTTGCACGGGTAGACGACCAGGTGGTCTGTGCCCCGGGCCCGCGCAGTCGTGTCACCCAAGGCAACCGTCGCGACAACAACGCCAGCGTTGGGATGGTACGTGAGCGATGTCCAGTGCAGCGGCACGCACGGCGGTGTGGCGCTGGGTGCCAACGGCGCGGTGTCGGGCTTGGTGCGATGGAGCTGGAATGGCGATTTCAGGGTCGGGGCAGTGGATGCTACGGGGGTGGTTGCCAGTGCTGCCCAGAGCCCACCTTCCCATGTCAGGAAGTCACGCTCCAAGTCGTTGAACGAATCACCGAGTCCGAGCGCGTAGAAGCGGTGACCGCCACGCGCGGCGAGCTGGGCGTCGACGGCCTTGCCCATTCCGTTGTACGAGTCGGCGTAAATCGAGCTGCCGACGCCAAAGACGCAAAACTCGATCGTGATCGGCGCGCTCGACGTCTTGAGCCACTGGAAGAACGAATTCGCGTTCGTCGTGGGGCCGCCGGTTCCGTACGAGGCCGTCATAAAGATGTAGCGCCGGCCGCCGACGAGCTGCCGCGCGTCAAACGTCTCGAGCCCGTGGACCGTGATCGAGATCGCACGCGCCGCACCAAGCCGTCCGAGGCGCAGCGCCAGTGCTTTCGTCCCGCCCGACTCGGAACCGTAGTAGACAGCGACCGACTGCGGACGGACTCGAGTGTCGCCGCCAAAGCACGACGCAAACCACCCGCGCAGGCCCATGCCAACGACCGTTTCGACGGAGTTTAGTTCAGATAGATACTTCTTTTGTCCATGCAGCGCCTGTCTACAGCGTCGAGATGCAGCCAAAATTCTCGCAGCAGCGTACCCATGATCCAGTGGATTCGGCCAAACGGATCGCAGGTTCTCTTGTTGGTATTAGCAAGGCCATCAAGGGTATTTATGGTCTTGGTAGTATCAAGGCATACACAATGGCCTTGGTAATATAGATGTTGCTGGGTCGTGCTTTCAACCGCAGCGCTGACAAGGAGAATCGAGAAGCGAATCTACTTGAACGTTCGCGGCATCTGCTTGTGCGCACTCGAGCGTAGGAGGACGCCGCACGACTGTGGTCTCTTCAACACCACACCAAATCCCAGTGTTCTTGCTTGCTTCTCGCCTTGACGTTTCGCCAAAGTTCTTGGTTAGCAATCGCAAAGCGGCCGCCAAGGTACCAAGGTACTTGCACTTGACCATGGGCATCACGGCCTGCAACAGAACCGCCTGTCCTTTCTCTCTCTTGATGTTTGTATGGCGAGGTGACGCCATACAACGACCAAGAGAAACAGAGTGTGTGTTGGCGGCAGAGTTCAATGTTTTTGACATTCTTGGAGCATGACGTTTGTGGGCAAGGTCTGCGCGGCCGCGATCGCGACGCCGTACGACGGGTCCGCGCCCGACAAGGTGGCGGCCAAGACCAAGGTGCTCGAGGACCTCGTGAGCCTCCTCCAGGACGAGGCGAAGGCCGTCTCGCTCTTGACCGAGACGTCGATGCCGCATGTGATGCACATGCTGCAGCTCAACCTCTTTCGCGCGCTGCGCCCGCCGCGCGCCGACTTTGATCCGGACCAAGACATGCCCGAGAAGGATATTGCGTGGGTGCATCTCCAGCCAGCGTACTCGATTCTTACGTACGTCATCCGCGCGCCGATTGCGCCACGACTGGCGAAGCGGTACATCACGCCGTTGTTTTGTTCACAGCTGCTCGGGCTTTTGCGCAGCGAGGACCCGGACGAGCGCCTCGTTGTTGCGACGCTCCTCCACAAGCTCTACGCCAAGTTCAAGAGCCTCCGCGCATCGTTTCGGCAGACGGTCGGTCACATTTTTCTGCAGTTTGTCGACGACCCACCGAGCTTTCCGTTTGGGATTGGCGAGCTCCTCGAGGTGTTTGCTAGCATCGTCAAGGGTTTTGCCACGCCGCTGCTGCCCGACCACGCGCTTTTTATGACCAAGCACCTGCTCCCGCTCCTCAAGCCCACGAGCTTACCGACGTACCACCAAGCGCTGCTCCTCTGCCTCAGCATGTATTTGGAGAAGGACCCAACGACGGTCCACACGATTCTATCGCACACGCTCAAGTTTTGGCCATGGCAAGCGACGTCCAAGCAGATTTTGTTTTAAACACGCTCGAAGAAACGCTCGAGTTGACGCCAATCGAAGAGCTCAGCACGTGTGAGAAGCGCCAGATCACGTCGGTCGTCGCCAAGTGCCTCCAGTGCGACCACTTTCAGGTCGCGGAGCGGTCGCTATTTCTCTGGAACAACCCGTACTTGATCAACCACTCGGTGCTCAACCAAGACCACGCGCGGGAACTCTTGCCGATCTTGTTTCCCGCGCTCTTCAAGGCCTTCAAGCTCCATTGGAACCTCACCGTGCGCGGCCTCGCCCGGGTACATCCTTCTATCGTTGCCTTCGAGCATGCTGATGCACCGTGTCTAGAGTGTGCTCGAGATGTACACCAAGTACGACTTTGCCACGTATCGGCGGTGCCTGGAAAACTTCGAAGCGGACCAGCTCGCGCTTTTGGAGGCCGACGCGAAGAAGGAAGCCAAGTGGAGAGCCCTCTTTGAGCGCGTCGCGATCGTAGGGTAGAACACCAAGCCTCGATCCAACGCCTATGTTTTCGATACCATACCAGTCTTGTGCATTGCAAAGGAACGTAGCATCCACGTACACCTCGGTGGCATCTCGCTCGTGCACTTTCTGCAGCACGGGCCAAGTGGTGTGGCAACGACGCGTCCACTCGTGTCATCCCGCGTCAGGACATGCCTTACATTGGGATCGACCGGTGGCGCTGGCTTGTGCATTGATCCTTCTCAGGCCCATGAAGAAGGTGCAAGGAAGACTCCGTGGGCGTCCGTGCAGCAACTTGCCTCGTGGGGTGTAGCACCATCACTCACTCCCGCCATAAAACACCACTCCTCCATCCTCCTTTGATCGCTCGACGTCGCGGTCCTCGTCGCGTGGTCCGGTTTAAGACGACACGCATCTCTCACATCGTAAAGTGGAAGATATTGTCTATCATGTCGCCATTGCGTCGTCAAGCACGACTGCCGGCGGTGGCGTCCGTCTTCGCGGGAATGTGCCCCGAAAGATCGCTTGCCTCTGCCGTGTTTCCAACACGTTTTAAACACGTTTTCGCCGATCCGGTTGTCATGGATATAAAAATACCTTGCGATTTGTAAGCAATACAATACAAATCGACTCGAGAGACAGAATGTAGGTCGCATAGTTTTGTCCAATCAAGTACCTTACGGCCGTAGCCAGTCCTTCCCACTTTGCATTTTGCAACCAAGAACTTAGCCATGGCGATTCGCTGCCAATTTGAAAACTCGAACGAAATCGGCGTCTTCTCCAAGCTCACGAACGCGTATGCGCTCGTCTGCATTGGCGGCTCGGAGAACTTTTACTCGGTCTTTGAAGCCGAGCTCGCCGACCACGTCCCGGTCATCCACTGCTCGATTGCGGGCTGCCGCTTCGTCGGCCGCGTCGCTGTCGGCAACAAGAACGGCCTCCTCCTCCCCAACGGCACGACCGACCAAGAGATGCAGCACATCCGTAACGCGCTGCCCGACTCGGTCGTCGTCCAGCGTGTCGAAGAGCGCCTCTCGGCGCTTGGCAACGTTGTTGCGTGCAACGACCACGTGGCCCTTGTCCACACGGACTTGGATCGCGAGACGGAAGAGATCATTGCCGACACGCTCGGCGTCGAGGTCTTCCGCCAGACGATTGCCGGCAACGCGCTCGTCGGCTCGTACTCGGTCTTGAGCAACCAGGGCTGCCTCGTGCACCCGCGCACGACGGTCGACGACCAGGAAGAACTCTCGTCGCTGCTCCAGGTGCCGGTGGTCGCTGGTACGGTCAACCGCGGTTCGGACGTCCTTGGCGCCGGCATGGTCGTGAACGACTGGACGGCGTTCACGGGCCTCGACACGACGTCGACGGAAATCTCGGTTGTCGAAAGCATTTTCAAGCTCCAGAACGCGCAGCCGAACGCGATTGCGGGCTCGATGCGGTCGGCTTTGATCGACTCGATGACTTAATTACCCGATTAAATTTAATAGAAACCAACGACGCGCTGCGCTCTCGAGTTGTCTCCTTATGTGTTGGTGAGAACCATCGTCGGGTGGACGCCGTACGTGGGCGCAATACTCGCAAGCTCCTTGTGCAGCGGGTCTTCCGGCTCCCAGTACGTGACGTAGACGCGCCGGCGCAGGAGCGCAATGATGTACCCGACAAGCGCGATCCCACCGAGGGCACCCAGCGTGCCCCACACCGTCTCGACCGGCATCTCTCTTTTGCAGTTGTGTGATGGTGCTTTTGGAAAAGTGAGGCGAAAATAGATGCCCAAGATGGCGGGAACTTGAAAGCTCTGCACCAGTCGCCGGAAACGCTCTGCTGTCGACTTGGCCAATGCCAAGACGAGCGAGGCAAGCAAGATGACCCAAGAAGCAGGTCTGCGCACCACTAAAACAACAGCCCATCATCACCGCCGCCTGTAGCAGAGCCCGCGTCGCCCAGACCTATGCACCACTTTGTACGTGATGTCTGGCAGCACTTGTCCGTCGAGACGAAGTCTTGGCGCGAGGAGACGGCGCTGCAGCAGGTGTGGTTGTGTGTTGCATCCGGGCGACATGGTCGATGAGCGGCCTATGTGGACGTCAAGCGACCGCGTTGAGACGCTGTGTGCAGAGTGCACGCTGCGTTAGCACCATGCTCGGTCGTCGTGGAGGTTCTCTGTACTTCCGTAGAAGCGTCTCGACCATTGTGCCAAAGAGAAAGAAAGGCCAACGAGAATTGAGCAAGCTTGTGCTGTTGCTCATGTAGCGTTGTCGCCGCTTTCGCGACGAATAGGTATGCATGCAGCATAAGATGCACGTTATGATTGCTTGCTCATGGACATGCGGTTAACGTTAGAACGAACATGTCTGTGGCTTTTACTTGGATGACGTCTTGTCGAGAAAAGCGAGCGAGGCTAGGGAAGCGCGTCGATCGTAGTTGCGTGTCCCTCACACGGCAAACCTCCTTGCGTTGGGTCACGGCCACATTGTACTCGTGTGCCCTCAAATTTGCTCGTCCATCAATGGCAACCGACTTGGTTGAGGTCTCTCTCGAGGCCTTTCGCCGTTCTTAATAGTAGGGTACCTCTCGGTTGTAATCGGTTTTCTGAGGCTTGTCGCCAAGACAATACCATCAGCTCCGTCTCGGTGCACTTTTCCTTGTCGCAGCTCCTTCTCGATCGCCTCGATCGTCGTCGACGAGCGATCAAAAGGAAGATCACCTTGCATCAAACCACCGAAAACGGCAACTCGTCCTGTCTCGGCGCGCTGCGGTGCGATATCATTCCACCCCGCAGCTGACCGAGTCGCCCGAGACACTACCGTCGAGAAGCGCGTGATGATAGTAGATCCTGGCATCATACATTCGCCAAGTGCCCACCTTGCACTTGGGTTCTTTATCCGGATTTGCGTCCTTTTTCCGGATGTCATGGACACTGGCTGCGATATGCCACTTGCCGATCGCCACGCAGCATGTACACGACGTCGTACGAAGCTACGCCGCTGGTCGCGGTCCCGACCGCCTCGCTCGTGCGCGAGGTTGACGACGACTCGTTCACGGACCACGTGTTTCGCCTCCTTGGCAGCCCGTTCCAGCTCGTGACTGTGCTGCTTGTGCCGTACCATGCGTTCAACTTGCTCTTCGCGGTCGCCGCCGCCGTCGCCGTCGTTGCCGGCACGGCGCTGGGCCTTGGCCTCCTTCCGCTCTGCTGCTTTGGCGTCCTCGTGCTGCAAGGCGTGCTCTACTTGATGTTGTCGCTTGCAAAAGTCGACGTATCGCTCTACAACTGCGTCGCGCCGCGCGGCGACCGCATTCTCGATACGTTCCACATGCCGCGCCAGGGGCCGTTCCGGTTTGCGGGCCAGAGGCTGTCGCCGGGCCTCACGCAGCTCTTCTCGCAAGAGTCGTTTCTTGGCATGTTTTACTTTGTGTTGGTCAAGTGCCCCCTCACGCTACTCGCGAGCGTCTCGTCGCTTGGGCTACTGGCCGTCGTTAGCGCCTGCTTTGCCTTTCCGTTCCACTACGACTTCTTCGTGGACCACAAGGACCTCTTGGCGCTGCGCTTTAAGCACGGCACGCTGCGCACGCATGGCGTGATCGAGACCTTTCCGCTGGCCGAGAGCGACTGGCCCCAAGTCGCTGTCTTTGGGGTTGTCTTACTCTACCTCACGTGCGTGTGGATGCACGTCTGCGCCATGGCGCTCCGTGCGACAACGAAAGCGTTCTTGTGCGAGTACTTTACAGCATCGGGCGTCGTCTACTGCCACGGCCAAGGCCCGTCGTTGCCGCCGCCGTCGGCGCCGCCGCTCTATGGCTCGGCACAACCGGCATACGCGTACGAAAAGCAGTGAAAGATGGATGCGATGTGCCCATCTCCATCTCGTGTAGCGATCCCATGTCGTACAAGTACCAAGCTTATCTAATGCGTGTTTGCTGGGATCTCGTCTTACAATATCGCAGTGGTCGCGAAACTGGTGGTTGTTACACACCCTAGAAGTGCACTCGCATAGTAAGAGCATCGCCTTCCTACATGATGTCGCTTTTGGGCGAGCTGCGGTTCCTAGTTGGGTGGAGCACCATATGTCTTTACTATCTGGTTTGTTAGGGTTAACACGACGATACGCTTGGCAAAAACCGCCGATGTGTCGTTAGACCAAGAAGGGCGAAATGAACGCCTTGGCCGTCGACAAGCGCGCGTAGACACCCGGGGTGTTTGCGAGCCCGCACTCGTAGCCCCAGCTCACGACACCAACGACAACGTCTTCGCCATTTTGCGAAATCGTCAGTGGGCCGCCCGAGTCGCCTTGGCACGTGTCTTCCCCCTTCACACCGCCAGCGCAGACATTGGAGCTGCGGATATGCGGGTACGTGCCCTTGCTCGCGGCTTGGATGGCCGTGTTGCACTTGTCATTGTCCCAGATCTTGACGTCGACTTGCTTGAGGACGAGCGACGGGGGGCCAAGGACACCGTTCATGATGCGGCCCCACCCACGCACTGTGCCGACCGTGCCCACGGGGCTGTCGTCGAACGAGACTCGGATTGGCTTGATCGTCGACGGCGTCTCGAGCTCGAGGATGGCCCAGTCATTGAAGGGCGTGTCAAAGAGCTCGACGTACTCGGGGTGCATGATCTTGCGCTTGATGCGGATGCGCTCGCCGTCGAGGCCGCCAATGTTGTAGCGTGTGCCGACAGCGACGTAGTTGATCGAGTCGTCGACGCAGTGACCTGCCGTGAGGACGTAGGTGGGTGCAATGAGCGCAGCACCGCAAATCGAGAGCCCCCACGAGCTCTTGCGCACGCCCGCCATGAACAAGTCGTCGCCACGCGGAACGGTGCCTCCGCCAATGATCTCTGGCTGGCCACGCGGCGGCGGCGGTGTATTAGCATCCGTTGCGTTCTCGGAGGGCGTGCAACCCGCGTGGGCGGCCACGTCCAGCGCCGCGAGCAAGAGCGTTGATAGGAAGAGTCGATGTTGCATAGTCTGCTGCTGCGCGCTGGGCGGAGGAAGTGAAAATGGCAGCCAAGAAACAAGACGAAGGAGGCCTTGGAAACAGCTGGTGCTTGCATGCAGCGCATTTGTGCCTTGGCGACCCGTCTTTTGGGTAGGGACGCTGTGGCACATCCGCCTACGCCAACGTTATTGGACCCAAGAGCCCCAAAACCAGGTGTGGCCTTTTTGCGCGCATGACGCAAGGCAACAAGCGTTCTTGTCACGGCCATGCGTTCATTGGAATTGACATGCAATTGGACGAGCCGTAGCTCGTCAGAACAGCCTTGGTGCGAGCGATACGAGCGGGTAAGCAAGGTAGCAAGTGATGTTCC